AGGTCACAAGTATCGCGCTGCGGAGTATTTAGGAGAAGGGCGTCATTGAGCACATAAATAGAGAGCTCAAAGTCATATTGAGAGAGAGGATACAAGGACAGGAGAAAGTCAAGACAAGAAGCAAGCTGAAAGGGCTGAAGGACAGTGCAAGGTTGAAATGAGAGTTTCGGGTAAACAAGAGAGAAGGGAAAGAGCGAGAGCTCTGAAAGTCAGGCAAAGTCAAAGTGAGAAGGGACAGAGTGAAAGTTCTGAAAGTCAGGCAAAGTCAAAGTGAGAAGGGAGAGAATGAAAGTTCTGAAAGTGAATGCAAGGTCAAAGTGAGGAGAGAATAGAACTCCGCTGTATGCAAAGCAATTGGGATCGAGCTGGCTGGATTTGTAATAGCGTTATTATAGCAAGACATCCTTAACACAGACTGGTACAATAATCATGGATAGTTGTAAAGTAGACTAAAGCATGGAATAAAATATATACATAATATTACATCAAATATCTTAACCAAACTGCGTGACACTATCAATAGCAACCGATACAATTAGTTGACAAATGTGCTTATAGCCAATCAATGCAATGATTGAGCTTATATTGAGTATTGTATGATCAGTGGTATTGTTGATAACAAGCTCCATGAAACAGGAACTACCGGTAATTATATCATGTTCTATGTTTAATAATCAAACTACAATACTTTGTTTTCGTCATATGTTGGAGAAGGAAAGTCGATGGTGAATAATGGCGATTGTTGTTGTCTTGAAATCTTCCCATTATGGCGAATATATTATGTGAACTTGTCCAACGTGCTGGGATGGAACTTGAGCATACCTGGGGCCCTGTCATAAAAACACTTACAATTGATTCAAATTGATCACAAATTAATATCAATCACGTCTCTATACTAAAGAGATAGGGTTTTTGTTCATAAGTTTATGATTGACTGAAGGACTTGCAATCGATCCAGATCAATCGCAGCTCTTTATAAATGAAGACGGGCTTAGAGATATCTTATTTTGTACAACCACAACAGGTTCACGGTTTATTTCTTCTTTTTGATATATTTTTACATTCTCATAAAATGAATATTTTCATATTTTCATGGAGTATGAGTAAAAATACAATACAGTATTCCTGATAGATGTGAGAAAGACTAGCTATTGTACAGTATGTACAAAACTTCTAAATAATTGCATTTTCAGAGTTAAAGGTCGTCAAAATCTAATAAACTTTCTTTCCCTAAAATGACATACCTGGTACTATTTTATAAATGCTGTAGGACGGTAGGAGTGCTATTGCTGTTTTCATCCTACATTTCAAAAAGGTGCAATGCTAAATATATCAGTTGTGAATTTGCTTATTAATCCAATATACAATTTATGTGATATTTACTTTGTATATTTCAAAATCATGCATGTATGTTGCTATGTAAATATACTGGTCATGTGAAAAATTATGTATTCAAATTTTAAATATGCAAGCTTTTTATAATGTTGTAATCAATGTGAATTGAATAAATGCTATCACAAATATCTTACATATTGTTGTCATGCATGCATATTTTATGTTGGTTTTGTGTGGTCGATACCGGTATATTTTTACCAATTTATTCCCCTCTTTTTGCCTGCTTTTAATCTCTGTGTACATTTTCACTTCTGATTATGAGATATTGCTGCCTCTTTGTCTCAATCGAAGAGAATTTCACATCAAATGTCTTTTTTTCCTTAACTTGATGCTCATCTTCAAATAACGTTAGATGAATTTAAATTTAGATTGTATCTTTTACAATGTATCTCACAGTGCACTTTTGTATTTTATAGATATCTCTCACCTCTCCGGTTTCCTGTTCTCATTTTTTTTTGCCATCAATCTCAATATCTCAATTTCAGTTATTTTGATAACCTTTATAAACAAAAATGTTATTGAGTCCTAAACACAAGACATGCTTCCTTAAAAACACTGCTGTGCATTGAACTATCTCTCCCCATTTCTCTCTCTCTCTGTCTCTGGATGTCTCTGTTTCTCTATACCTTTCTCTTGCATATTGTTTCTCTTCATCTACCCTGATAAACCTCCATTCTCTTTCCCTTTTCTAAGTTTGTTTATTACCTTGGTCTCACTACTTTTGACAAAAGCACGTCATAAAATGAAATTAAGAAACACACTTTACAGATTTATTGTGCTTGCATCAACACAAACATAACACATAATGAAGGCAAAATTAACATGGTAAATGTTAACAACACATCAGTATACTCTACCGACAAAACAAACTATGCGATACCAAGTACCCATTAATACATCAACAAAAATTCAATGTATTTAAAATTCTCCTGTCCTGCGAGCGACCGCCCCAAATCGTGTAAGTTTAATGTGATCAGAAGGGGGAGTGTAAGAGTTAGCTAAGGGAATGTTAACTTTGGAGAATATGAATATTCCAATTAACAGATTTCAGATGCGTATTCTAACAGTTATTCAGTATTATTGGGGGAAAGATCACTTAAATATTTCTAATCAGCATATTGTAGAAAAGTCTAACTATAACATTTATTACTATTAGAAGCAAGGATTTCAGTAGTTTATATTACACAAATTGTCATTGGCCACTGATGACAATTTTTGTAAAATGCCCCCCAGATATTGATTTCTGAAATAAAATCCTCAGGCTAAGTTCATGAAAATTCTTGGTCAGCAATACCTCTTTTTTGAAAATATATCCCACTGGGGTTGTAAATTTAGAGCTCTTTCACACATGTTATAATGGAAATAATTCAGTTAACTGGTTGCCATTAATAAATGATTTTGTTTAAAACTACATATACTGTATAACCAGGAAATGTTGCATGCAAGAAATGTTTGCAACTTTCATAAGTGGGTCTGGGCCCCTGTTTCATAAAACTTGTTATCAATAGCAACTGCCACAGATCTATGACATATGTGCTCATGCATAGCCAATCAAATGCAAGGATTTCAGTAGCTTGTAACAATTATCATGACTTGATATTGATAACAAGTCTTGTGAAACAGGACCTACATGTGGATTTGCAAGTGTCATGTCATTAAATAATAAAAACTGACACAACAACTAAACTTTTGAAATTCAAGAGTTTTTTGCCTGAAATTGACCATCCTCAACAAATCATTAAAAGTTTAAAGTTGCAAAATATTCTGATTTTACAGTATATACTTGGGATTCTTTGTGAGATCTTTGGTCATGTAGATACAAAAATCAGTTACATCTCTGCAACACACTCTGCAGAAAGATACTAATTATATTTCAAACGAACAATGTAAAATACAAAAATCAATTGTAATCCTCATCATGGAATGTCAATTCAATACTTAAGAAACAAATACTGAGAATACATATCGTAACTATATACACATAAATTCTACAACTCTTAAAAATGGCTAAAATAGTTTGCGCACTGTAAAAACAAATGAATTGGCATTGGTAACGGTATAAAAAATTGAATAATTTTGAGTAACAAAATATTAAAAAGTCATATCTCAATGTTTAATACAAGAAGGTTTCTTAAATAACCAAAGGTGAAAGAGTAACAAAACTGCAGCATTTGATGCTTTTGAATCAGGCTTCACACACACTTTTTGTCAAGTAAAGGTGACAAACAATAATAATTCCACATCGCCAGATTATCATGAACAAATCTGAGATACACGGCCCTACGTGTTATCAGTGTCTGTGATATGGTGTAATATTGAAGACCTAAAAAAATTGCGCTTCAAAATGATCAAGAAGTGCCTCAAACAAGTAAAAATCTTTGAGTGGCCGGTTTTACCATACTCGTTTCCCCCAATAGACTGTAGTGTTATTAAAACCGTTTGGCAAACAGTTTTAAATTTTTTTAAGTCCAATCATAAATATCTTGATAATCTGAAAGGTGATCGGTTTGTAAAAGTCATGGGGTTCCTGACTGACCTAAAGGTTTATAATTATCATTGCAGCATGAGCTACATCCATATATTTTTTAAAGAATCTGAGACAAAGTTACCGGATCCCTTTAAGATTAGTACCAAAATATTTCTCTTGCAAAAAAGAAAAATTAAAAAGGAAAGAAAAAAAAAATCCCTCCCCCCCCCTCCTTTTTAAAACTATCTCTGATAATAAAGTTGAAAACCTTGTACATATTTCTTTATATACTGCATACATGACCAAACTGAGTCAATAACAAGATGATTCGGGCTAACGTTGCTTAACAGAGCTCAGTACATAGTGTATCCAGGGGATTTTTTGTGCTATTTGGGGAATGAATACAATTTGCAATATAAAAATTATCAAGAGGATAAAAGTTCCATAGATATATGCTCTTATTTTCAGGAGTCATTCTAGGGTTGCAAAATTTAAGAACACAAGAGAATGAGCTGGCAATATATGCGCAAACACGTATTCTAAATAGCCTTCTTATCATCGGGGAAAGTCACAACCTGCGAAAATGTCTGAGCTCCTGGCCTCTGTCGAATGTCCGTACATGAAAATATTGGCTTCATACTGTGTTCCTTTCACACTGAGTACATATAGTCAGGGCTCAATATAAACAGGGGGTGTTTCATAAAGCTGTTCGTAAAGTTATGCATGACTTTATGAACGACTTGTATATGAAAAGCCAAATGGGATGCTCAATCATTATTAACTGCATCAACTAAAGTTGAACTATGCAGATGTAGATTGACATTCTTATTATAACAAACATTTTTAATGCAAAGTAAATTTTTTCCATAATTAATTGAGGTTATTGGAAAAATCAGAAAAAACTTTGGGTATCCTATCTGGCACTTCATATACAAGTCGTTTGTAAAGTCATGCGTAACTTTACGAACAGCTTTATGAAACACCCCCCAGGAACCCAAAGTCCAAGTAAGGACCCTCCCTTCCTAAAGTTTGAGATTTTTACATAGGTCTCATGCATACAGAGTGTAAACAGTTCGATCCCGATCAGCTTCCAAAGGAAATTAGTGTGGAGTCCTGCTAATAAACACAAGACATTTCAGTTGACTTGTAATACCTAGGCAATGGCAAAGGAGCATTAGCACCTTAACAAAATGGAATGATAACATAATAATGAAATACTCAATTCAATTTTAACTTAAAAATACAGACCCTTTCTTTTACAATGTTCGCTGCGACATAACTTCAGCAGACATAAAATACAATAAGACTAATGGGTCTTTGAAAGTTGCATAGGTATCTTAAAACTGTTCATAAATAACATGGATTTAACACTTCTTATCAAAAGATCAACAACACTATAATACAATATATTAAAGCTGGAAGACTTACGGTGGCTTATAAATAGATCTTTAACTTGGATGGTATAAATAACACACTTAAAACATGAAAGCAATGAGGCCTCGTTCATACTTGAAGCTATAAACCGGCTAAAGGAACCACATCAGCAAACAAAATGAAACAAGTGTAATGCATTCTCATTTCTGTATTTCTTACATTTGATTACATATACATAACCTCACTTGCCAATTATTTTTATGCAAAATGGTCTGGGTTTTGCCTCAGCAATTTCTTTTTTAGGAGATGGTTTACTGCTTGAGGAGTGAACGAGGCTAAATGGCACAACTATGAAATCTCTGCTTCTTTACCCTTGGTAACGTTTAGATTCTACAGCCCAACTGACGGTGTTCAAGGTGTAAACAATCTTAAGCCCTCTGATGAGGGCCACAAGGGTGTTAACTCTCTATTAAAGTATTTAGTTAAAGACGCATAGCAGAGGGCTCTGATGGGGAATTTGACACTATTTTGGTGTATACCTGACAACAGGTGTTGTAAATCACCAGGGTTAGCCTTCGGTTTTATGACCAACAGCCCTCATGTAATGCCCTGCATTTCCCACCAACCGCCTGAAGATCCCTCAGTCGAAGGCTTTCCAAGAGACTGGGGTTGTTTTTTGATGGGAATATGGGTTTGTTGTAGGCAAAACTTGTACACCTATTAATCATATAACTACCAAGTCTAGTGTCAGTGAATTATGACCTACGGCACATTCAATCTTACTACCATCTCCTTTTAATGCCCTTTTGGCTCTCAGCAGACAATACATTCTCACCTGTCCGTTTGTTAACCCTTTGCTGACGGGAACATGTTTGTCCCTGTGTTATGCCTATGAGACCTATAACATTCAGTAGTCAACGGGGTAAGAGCAAGTCATCATACTTCTTTGGTCTTACTAGAAATAATCTCACAGAATAATCAATGTAACAGTTCCAAAAAAAAACTACCAGTGATTGTCGAATGAATTTTCATACTTTCACAATCTCTGCCATATACCTGCATATTAATTTTCTATTCTTTGGTTTTGTCTTGTTTCCAATGAATGACTGGCCTGGGAAAGAGGACGAGCGAGAAGCAGAATGGAGATGGACGATTGTTATTCTGCTGTGTTCCCATTTGTCTGGTCCGCGTCACTGGAAGAGGGTTGGGGTCTCTTTCTGGAGTCGGAGGCTGTAGATAATAAAATAATAATAATAATAATATGGTTATTTATATAGCGCCGGTATCCGCCAGGTTTTGACTCTCATGGTGCTTTACACATATTACCCTGATCGAGCTACCAAAGATGAAAGGAAATTTAAGAGAAAGTTGAGTTCCTGTAAAGCAGAAGAATAAGTTTGTGATTTTTCTAATTCTTTTACTCCCATGAGGAAATATCTCTTGAAAATCGATTGCTTTTGAAATGACCTCATATTCAAATATAACTTAAGGCATTTTGGTCTAGGGGGTGGGGTAAAGTGGGCCTACACCTCTCCATTTTAAAACCTTATCTGGCATACCTCAAGTCCAGCAGAAAATGTGTGCCTCTCTCCCACTGGCACTTGAAAAATCAGATTACCCCTTTTGGGTATCAGAAAATATTAGTGTCTTCTTGTACCCCCTTTAACTTTAAAGAAATTCTGGACCTTCCCCATGCATGATCTACACTCTAAGGCCCAAATTTTACAAAGGAGGTTTACATTTAACCCATGGTTTAAACCTTCATTTACATAACCCATGGTTTAAAAGTACGGTAGCGCAAATCAGGCGTCTAATATTTTCCTACCAAATTGAGAGATTCTCCTTTGCAATGATGACATCACTTGGTCTCCCTGACCTCTTTGTATGACGGTCCCATCTGTTTGATCACCACTGTATAACATCAAAATAATATAGAGAGAGAAACAAATATTTAAAAAAAACATTATATGAAAATCAAACCTGCTGCCTCCATTAGCATTGCCTTTATGACTACCACCATCATCATCATCAAAACCACTACTTCCTTGACAACCATCATAAATACCACCAGTACTACCATAAAGCTGGTGATGCTAGTGGTGGTTGCAGTGATGATGATGATGATAATGGTACCATCAAATACCACCTTCACAATCAAAATCCTCTTCCTTCATCTTCATCACTATTATCAATACCACCGCCTGGAATCATAATTATCATCATCACTAAAATCATCCCACCACCACCACCACCACCACCACCATCATCTTGTTATCATCATCATCATCATCATCATCGTCATGATGATCATCCCCATCATCATCATCACCATCACAATTATCATGTCCATCATCATCTTGTTATCATCATCATGATCATGATCATCATCATCATCATCAACATCACCATCACAATTATCATCTTCATCATCATCTTGTTATCATCATCATGATCATCATCATCATCAACATCATCGCCATCATCATCTTGTTATCACTTTTGACATCATCAATCTTACCACTTCCACTACCACCACCACCACCGCTATCATTATTATCAAAACAACAACCACCACCACCACCCCCACCATCATCAACATCACCACCACTTAATTCTTCTTACCGATCTTCTTGATGAGACGAGCTGTGACCATTCTCTGCCGGCCCATCCAGCTCCTCCAACTTGAGCCTCTTACTTGACGGTCTAGGTGACCTCTCTGGTCTTGCGACCTGCTGGTTGAACTCACGCAATCGTTCAGACTAGATGGTCAAGAGAATAATATAATAATAATAATATAATAATAATAATAATAATAATAATAATAATAATATTTAGCTTTTATATAGCGCTTAATACAAATGTCTCTTTACAAGCGCTTTACAAATATATTATTATCCCGGTCATTGGATTCAGTGCTTGCCCGCACACATTGTGTGCACAATCTCCACTCCCTGGGGAGCATTCCAGCCAGGCATTACTTGATCTTGACACAAAATATCTGATTAGCCTGTAAACTTATTGATTTCTTCTATTAAAATAAATCATCTCTTCCCAAAATATGTAATGAAATTTGTTTTTAAAGAATAGAGGGAGACATAAACGCTCTTCTCTTCACTCAAGAAAAGAAGTTAAGAAGACAACAACATAAGTTGCATCGATCACAAAATAAGCCAAATTGCATGCATTTCACTAGGGGCACTTGATTAATCTGCAAACTTATAACACCCACCGATATACTCAATAGATCAATAAGACCTTTATCATAATACATTTCCCCCTGTGCACTTTGATGCCCTTGGCCTGATAAGGACAAAATAATTTCTTTCAGAGGACTTGGAATTGTAAAAACACAGATTAATCTTGTATAAAAACTAGAATTGGGGAAATATAATATAATATGATATAAATTGCATATTTTACTTACACTCAAAGACTCCCCAAAGCTGTACAAAGTCCTGTGATCAAAGTAATATAACAACAGCATTTATGAAGATGTATTTACATATATATATATATATACTGCCAGTGGATTTATAAGCTGCTCAATTACACTTGGGATCGATAATGCTGAATAAATTGCAAGACAACATGTAAGAGCATAGAGCGTGTGTGTGAGTGAGAGAGAGAGTGAGAAAGAGAGAGAAAGAGTGAGAGAGAGAGAGAAATGGATTAAGATAGGAGGGGTAAGAGACTGACAGAGAGAGAAAGAAGCACATACTTACAGAGAGACAAAGAGATCTCAATTTATTTCATGATGTGGACAGCAATTTCTAAATATTTCTGTGCTGAACAATGTGTATGCATTAAGAATATATATTGTGAAATTTTTCACCCCACATAATATATTCAATACCTGATTCAACATTAAAACAAGTGATAACAATTATCACCTGAAGGTTGACTTATGACATTTGTTAAAATACATTTGTGGCACAGGTGGGGTTAGGAGGGGGGGGGGGGAGGGGGTTTAAAATGAAACTAACCTTGTCCTCGGTGTCATTTGACCAGGAGATGAGACTGAGCCGACTGGCTGAGGGCTCTTAAATGGCGAGTCCTTCATCGGTGAGATGTACAGATTGGACGCACCTGGCACTCTGAAAACACAACCAACAAAACACACAAGATAATAAAAATACAAAATATACAATTTTTTCATAGCACATATCAGTTTATGATACAATTTTCCTACGCACTTCTGAAGGGGGTCGGACATTATTACACTAGTATTAGCTACCACAGTTGTTCACAAAATAAATCCTGCCAGGTACCCATTCAATACCTGGGTGGACATATACAGTGCATCCCAGAAAAAACGAAACCGAGAATTATCAATGTTTTATCATGACTTAATCACAATTATAATTATTAAATGACACATATTTTTAAAGCTTAGATCCCCCTCTTTCATTTGAAGCAACTCATACGATGCATCTTTCATGCATGAGTGATTACACCTCAATCAGGAAAAATGAGCCAGGGATTACAAAGTTCTGTTGAACCTTGCCTCTCCATAAATTGATTAAACAAATTAGTTTTCACTGGCTGCCTGCCGTAGTAAAAAACAGAGTTGACAAAAGACTTAACTCCGTTTCGTTGATGATTAGACATGCATCAAGTCTTTCGTCTTCTTTGTGCATGTCTGATGCACCTGTACGCACTTGTATAGGAAAAGGTGCGTACAGAAGCCAAGTTCGATCTGGGTTCCATGCATGTTTTTTTTATGTTACCGTTTACTTCTTTCATCTCTTTAACTTTAACCCATAGATTGAAAGGTAAAGGGTTTTTGTTGATTTTAGACATACTAGCTATACACAAAATTGATTTTTAGGTGATTAGAACCTTTAGAAAGACTTTTTAAGTGAAGCATTTGACTTACTGATAGATGGGTGTGGCTTGTGAAGCTGTTGCTTGGCAACGGGATGGTACAGGAGACAGGTTGGTAGGCTGTGTAATAAACAAAATAAAAGGACATTTATATCATGCTAACATATTCATACACGACTGTCTAGTAAAGATCTATTATATCTGCCTACTATGAAGAGTTGCATTACAAAAAGTGTAAATGGAGACTGCATACAATAGGAATTGTTACGCTGGACAATTGCAGTGAAGCCTTAAAGGGATCGTTTAACAATGTAAAATCTGAGATGCACGACCCTACGTGTTATCAGTGTCTGTGATACGTTATATTGAAGCCCTAAAAATATTGCGCTTCAAAATGATCAAGAAGTGCCTCAAAAAGTAAAAACCTTTGAGTGACCGGTTTTACCATAATCGTTTTCCCCAATAGACTGTAGTGTTATGAAAATCGTTTGGCAAACGCAAAATTTCATTTAGATTTTCAATCATAAATATCTTGATAATCAGACAGGCGATCGGTTTCTAATAGTCATGGGATTCCTGACTGACCTAAAGGTTCATAATTATCATTGCAGCATGAGCTAAATCAAGGATTTTTTAAAGGATCTAAGACAAAGTTACCGGATCCCTTTAATACGAAAACTACTCAAGTGAGAAAAGAAAAGCGGTCATTATAGGCAAGCGGTCTTCATGGACAGTTGCTTCAGTACAGGTTTCAATGAGAAATATTTTTCAAGGGAAAGCTAGATGGTGGCCTATATAAAGAGAAGTCTTCCTATACAGGTGGTCTTTATAGACAGCTGGGCCTCGTCTTATAGAGAGTTGATATCAATCGCAACTATGTACATACAAGATAGGAGACTGGAAATTTGCGATTGATTGGAGGACTTGCGATAGTTTCGGATCAATCACAACTCTTTATAAGATGGGGCTCTGATATTTTTAATCAGGTGATCACTGAAGCAGGTTAGAATGTACTTACCGAGATGCTCAGCTGGAATTTATGGATGTATTCTTTGGTGTGAAGAATAAAAATCTGATTGTAGAATACGATGATGGAAGCACTCTCCTTCCCTTCACCCATGTAAACATTTTTGTACGTCTGCAAAAGGAAAACAGAATTGGCAACACATGATTTAGAAGATTGAATTGAATTGAATTGAATTGAATTCAATTCTTTTTATTCATCCAAATTTACAAAAATACATGGAAATTTGTTTTGGTCACACATTGTACAAATATATATATATATGAGAAACTATATCGTTGTGTTGAATCGTAGAACAACCACCAAAATAAAACATAGACAAGATAGAAATATTCTTATATTCTAGTATTACACATTGAAAATAATGAAAAGGATAGAACATCATTGTGAAGGAAGGTGGACAGGAAAACCACGCCAAGCCGAAGTATTGAATACTTATGATCATGCTATTGATGAAGATTGTACAGAAAATGAAGCTTGTATAAGAAGGAAAAGACTGCACAATCTTTTAACTGAAGGCATGAACCAAGGAAACAAGAAGGAGTTAAGACAGCCAAAGATGCCAACCTCTTGACACACAAAGACAGACTGAATATCTTTTTTTTTTTTTTAAATCAGATTTTGGAGAGAAAAATCAGATTTTCACGAAAACTCAACACTACCACTGGCCCGTTGGCCCGGGTCAGTAAAATTTCAGAAAAATGTTTTTACTGGTAAGTACGGTCAAGTAAAATATTTGCCCTTTCATTAAAATATGAGAACATAGAAAAGCAATATTTGTGTTGGGGTTGCAGGGGTACCGTTTACTTATACACTTTTCTATGCGATTTTGCTGTTTTATGGGTTTTATGGATTTAAAAAAAAAAAAAATTATAGATGAAAAATCATATTTTAAGAGGTGATATTGTATTATCGTATTACACTCTTAATATCATACTAAATCAATTTAATCGTACTGGTAGGCATATCTGGACAGCGAATCACTTAGTTTGACAACATCACAATGGACAGAACTCTTCTACGAAGAGGTCAGAACAACAAGAGCTCATCATCCATTATAACGCTAGCATAAATGCGTGCCCATCTCCGCAGGTGGATATTTCGAAGTTTGTGTAAGAAGAAGTATAGAAGATTTTAGATGAAGGCATGATACATGAAAAAAAGCCTTAGGTGGCACAAGTATGGACAAGGTATGTAATAATAGTGTTGATTACTAGGCTTGACGACATCACACAGTGGACAGAACTCTTCTACGAGAGGTCAAACCATCATAGATTGTGTATCCATCTCCAGAGGTGGATTTTTCAAGGTAGGTGCGCCTTCTCAGTTCTGGGTAAATATTCCTGTACTTTGGCATAAGCCTAAATGTCAAGTGACACAATGCATCACTGCGCACAGCGTTCACTTTCCAGACATCCATCTTCCAGCTCAAGTCTCCTCATGTCTCTTTAACGTTTACTTTTCTGGGGGGTGTTTCATAAAGCTGTTCGTAAAGTTATGCATGACTTTACGAACGACTTGTACATGAAGTGCCAGATAGGATACCCAAAGTTTTTCCTGATGTTTTAACAAAGTGTGACTATATTTCCAATAACCTCAATTAAATTATGGCAAAAAAATATACTTTGCCATAAAATTTTTTGTTATAATAAGAATGTTAATCTACATCTGCACAGTTCAACTTCAGTTGATGCAGTTAATAATGATTGAGCATCCCATTTGGCTTTTCATATTTAAGTCATTCGTAAAGTCATGCGTAACTTTACGAAAAGCTTTATGAAACGCCCCCCCCCCCCCAGGTCTATTTTGGGTAGACAGTGCCCATGATTTTCCAGGTCCTCTGAAGAAACATTCTGAATGATTGTTTTAATTTACCTTTCCATTTGTAGATTTGTTAATGATTACAATTCCACAATTTTTTTTTTTAAAGTTTTCTTTTTCCCTCCTCCTTCTCCCCCCACCCCTTGATTAAAAAAAAAATAGGATTCAGGAAAAAAAATGGCACCTAACAACATTCCCCCCCCCCCCCCTTTTGAGTACGAAAATTGGGAAAAATAGGAAAAATATAGGAAATTGTGATAAAATCGGGAGAAAAAGAAGAAGAAAAAAATCTGGGAAGAAAAATAAATAATCGGGAAACCAATTTAAATCAGGTAATTATCAGGCCTGGGTGATAAAGAAGATAAATGATGTACCTGTGAAAGAGCATGTGGCAGACCTCTGTACATGTTCACAATTTCCTTGAACTTCCTCTCACAGTCCCGCACTTTACAGATACCATACATGCAGCACATGATGACCTACAGAGTGAAGAAAAAGAAAATAATCACTTGTATATCTATACAATTGTCGACCATATAAGATTATGATGGAATGCTCAACGAGGCGTTGTGGCGTGCGCCTGTAATCCAGCTTCTAATGGAAGTTACAAACTGATTCAGCTGAGAACGCAGGTTTGAAACTGAGTCACATCTTTTGGATGGTGACGTTAAAAGTCGGTCTACAGACGTAATTAATCATATCTGATTGATACACGTCTGTAAAAAATCAATTACACACACACACATCTGTTTTATACAAACTAAGGCAATTGTTCCAGCCCTCTTGTGGTTGAGTGGTTTCAACCTCTTACTGGGGATACGTAGGGTTAGTTCTGGTATGGACTTATGTCCTTAAGCAAGTCTTTTTATCTACATTGCTCCTCTTCAGCCAGGTCTATGTGGGTAGGATGTGACCATCAACGAGCTTGGATCATCATGAGCTTGCCCATATAAAAGGCGACTGGCTGGAAAGCTCCCAAGGGAGTGAAGAGTGTGTACTGTGATGTGCAGGATCATAACTGAATCTAGTGACCGGGGTAATAATACTGTAAGTGCTTCGGTCAATTAATTGTAACATGTAAAGCTCTACCTAAATAATGATGATACTACATGTATAATCACACTATCAATAGCTAAATCTTCACTCCTAGAGGTGTCGTGGTCGAGTAGATATGTCACCGGACTGTCGATCACAAGGTCCATGGTTCAAGTCCCGCTGCAGCACTAATGTCCTTTGGCAAGACATTGATCTACATTTGCCACACTCAACCCAGGTGATGTAAATGGGTACCTGGCAGGAATAAATTCCTTGAAATGCTATAGCGCCGTATGGCAGCGGTGCTAAAGGCAGGGTAATAATCGGGAGCGCCAGGAGTGTCGAATCCGACAGACACAAGCGCTATACAAGAATCCACTATTATTATTATCATTATCATTATTAATATCAAGTATTCCTTCCTTACCTGATCAAGATGTCTGCCTTGTAAGAGCCATGGTTTGTTGGTAATACAGTGCTCTACACACGTCCACATTAACCGATTCTGAAGAACAAACAAAATGGTACGTTGGACATTTTAAATGGATGAAATCAGTACCATGTCTAAGAAACCTCTGACACATGATTGCAATTTCATGAATTCTACATGCCTTAAGACATCCATATTAACCAATTCTGAAAACATAACAAAAAATTGTTATTTGGACATTTTTCAGGATATGTAGCCTATAGCATTAAAAATAAACCTGCATCATATGAAATTTTCATGAATTCTATAAAGATATTTATCCCAGAAAATAAAGGCAACACACAATCATGCACCATGTTCATCATCATTATCATTATCTACAATCATATTAGCATTATGATAAATTACGACCAATCATTTGCATCATTCACACTATCATATCTTCAATATTCTTCTGATCACTGTCACATGTAAAATCAATTGAAGCCTTAATACAAAATCTATACCCGGTAAATCAAAATGTATCGTGCTAAAAGAGAAGGCTTAACCAATAAATGTGAGACAATTAAAGCAGCCATCTTACCAAATCCTTGCTGAGATCGAGGAGGTTACACATGGTATGGAGACGATGGTAAGCCAGCTGGAGCGCCTTGTTGAAGAACATATTAAGCGTCACAGACCCCAGCTTCTCTTGGCCTCCTCCTACCCCACCATAGCTCGGCCTGGGGGAGGGGCAGGTCTGCTGCAGTCCCACTCTAGGGGAGGGGCACTGCTGAATGCCCAGTCTGGAAGACTTGGGGGAGGGGTACTCCAGTCGTGAGGCACAGGTAGGGGCATGGGTGCGGCGGGGAGGGGTGGCCTCGTTTGGTCGGTGAGTGGAGGAATAGTGACCAGGACGGACAGGAGACAAGAACCTATAAGATAATGAAGGGTAGGAGAAGGTCAGGTGAAGGCCATTGTAAGACATACTCTAAATGCAATATTAAACATGTGGATATAGTACAGTAATGTGTACAAGTTGAAGACCACATGCAATTTTGTGAATGTTTCTTTAACTTGGCCTACTTTATATTGTCTTATTGAACGATTACATACTATGTACTTTACAGTGGTTCATGTCAAGAGAGCAGTGCTATGATCCCACTTGAATAATAAATACACATGCAGGTATTGTATGAAGAAGAAAAAGGGAAAACCCCAGATCTTATAAAAAGGCTCTTTGTTGATAAAGACAACTAAAACAAACATATGGGAAGTACAGAGGAAATGGACTAAAGACAAGCATATAGGAAGTACAGAGAAAATGGAATAAAACAAGCATATAGAGGAAATGGACTAAAGACAAGCATATAGGAAGTACAGAGGAAATAGGCTAAAGACAAGCATTTAGGAAGTACAGAGGAAATGGACTAAAGACAAGCATATAGGAAGTACAGAGCAAATGGACTGAAGACTTACATATCTGCAGCAGATGCATGAGAAACACCATGCGAACTGGGACTCTGAAAACAAACATAAGGAAAGGAAAGGAAAAGAAATAGAATAATTCCATTGACGCTGAAAAAACAATTTGTAAAAATATATTTTGAAATCGATTTTAAGGAAGGGAACAGAAAAGTACAGTTAAAAGAAAGGGATAATGAATAAAGGATTCTGTAATAGAGGAGCAGTTTTCAACTCAAATTTTTGGAGAGAAATAATAGAATAAAATTAGATTTAGAATTTGATAATTAATCTGTCATTATAACAGGGGAGTGGGTAATACTAAACCCCAAACAGAGGCGCATCCCAGATATGAAATACGGGAGCAACTTCCAATTCTAATTACTTGTTATTTTTATGCAGGCAAGGTTGAAATGTAGCCCCCAAAAAATAAATATTAATTTTTTTCCCTGGTGTGCATACTATTAAAGCTGCAAAAATACTAAAATAAAGGATGAGAAAGGAAATGAGGGGCAAATAATTCTAAGATAGGCCCCTCCTAACCTATCACCCCCTTGACCCTGCTGACTTACCTGTGTGTGAGAGCCGTTAACTTCAATCCCTCGTACCCTCTTGAGAGCATCAAAGAGAGGGGAGTTGACGGACCATGCAAGGCACTCTACGATCTGTGTCTCTATGCCTTGGAGATGCTGAAAGGTTCAGAGAAATATAGAATGGTGTTAGTATCAAAGTTAGCCTCAACAGTATTGAAAACTGCTCTTCCTGGTGACCCTGCAATTATATTACTCTGGTACACCAGGGGGCGTTTCACAAAACTTGTCATCTGTGACAAATGACAGTTTTTGTTATAAGCTACTGAAATCCTTGCTTCTGATTAGTTATCAGTAGATTTGTCACTGATTTTTGTCATTTGTCATTGAAAAAAGGCTTTGTGAAACGCCCCCCCCCCCCCAGGTACCCATCTAAATATGCCTAGGCCGAGAAGAACAACTGTAGTAAAATACTTTGCCACAGGATTGCAAAGAGCTTTTAATTATGTCTCCAGCTATAATCTGTATGGGAGCAAAAATATAAGTCAAATTGTTCACTGCACAAATAAATGAATGAATGAAATTCAATACTTAATGAAAGAAAGAAAAACAATCTGATTGACCTGTTTATAACTCTCCATAAAGGACGGTAAACATGACAAATACTCGACATAGCAATTTCATGCAGTTATACAATACTAACAAAATATAGAAAGAAAGAATAGCGAAGAGGGATTTGACCTCTAACCTATGAACTACTAACCTTGCGAGCTTCCTCAGTAAGCCTGGGTTCATTCTTAACAAAGCTCTCAATGACCTTAATGAAGTTGAATGAATGAAGGTCAAAGACATCCAGTATCCATGGAAACAGGAGTTTGCTGCTTAGAGCTGACATGCCAGAGTTGATTGGTGAGGCTGGTAGAGTAAAGGCAAGATCAAAAACAATCATTTCAATATTTTAGACATAAACATCATCTCACTTTCACACAAAGTTTTATTTAAATAAATGTACTTAGTTTAAAGAAAATAAAGGGAAAGGGGGGATTAACTTTTAAGGATTCGACATGAAAAGAAGAATAATTTGAATATTGATAGATATAAAAAACAACAAAATGGCTTTCCTCCCATCAAGTATGGCATCTATGTGAAGGTTACAGCACCAACTACAAAGTCAACAGGGAATTTCCAAATGAATCAAAATGTATACATTTCAAAATGTCTTACTAGGTACAATAAGCTCTGTACACTGATATGGGGGCCTGTGTGAAATTATTTGGATTTTAAACAGCTGTATGTAGACCTATGTGATGTTACTTACTATGTTACTTCTAGTTGATGTATTTGCTTTGTGCACATATAAGTATTCTTATATGTTATTCATTGTTATCTCCTGCCAGTGGAGGCCAAATTTCTGTGTTTTTTAACGCTGACAATAAAACTGAATCTGAATCTGAAACTACTTAATAATTACCAAGAGATTACATGACCTTACAAGGTGAATACAACCAATTCTTAGGATCTAAATTTGACGAGCTGTGGCTACTTTGTGGCTTTCTGCAGCTATGTGGCCCCTCTGTTTTTTTTTACAGCACCCTAATTTCAAGATCTGACTTTGCCTTACATGGCGATAAGGGGTAGGCTTTAACCCCTGCGTGTGACTGCAGGATTAGAACATGGTTAAGCCACCTGTGCAGTACTGACCTGTGTATCCAAAGGTAACCATGACAACCTCTAGTGCACAGGCAAGAAGAGAGCGATGGAAGGCATCATTGTTGAGCAAGGTGGAGAAGTCAGAGGTAGAGAGGCGCTTCTCCTCCTATAGGTATCAACATTTACAAGTTTGTAAGATTTACAAAATGATCTACATACATGGAAGTCACGTTTTCTTGAATTGTCATGGAGAATTTTACATACGTGCATTTGGCCAAAAACATAAAATTAATCAACAAGAGTGACTTTACTTTTATAACCAATTTATCTCATCCAACACACACTCCCTCCACTATTACCTCAAACAAACTATCCCCTAAGGAACACCACCCCAACACTTTGATCTCTCACATAGGCAATCCCAAAGTAATTTTTGCACATCTATATTGACTGGTCCAGTGTAAGTGAAAAGTGATAAACCTACTTGCCACCTACCCCTCTCCATATCATCCCAAGCCCTGCACACCTTCATGAACTTGGACCCTATAATATGGGTGAAATCCTTCCATTTACTTTCACCCTTCTCCTTCCTCGTCCCCTCTCCCCTGGGAATTCACCCTTCTCCTCCTCCTCCTCTTTCCCTCTCCCCTGAATCTCAATATAGCATCTCGAATCCTGCATACATTGATGAGCCTGAACTCAATAACTTGAAAGAAATCTTTGCAAGTACTTGCCTCCCCCCATATAATATCTCAAATCCTGCATACACTGTACATTGATGAGCAAAGACTCAATAACTTGGAAGAAATCTTTGCAAGACCTTGCCTCCCACCCCCCCCCCCCCAATACAATATCTCAATCCCTGTATACCTTGATAAGCATGGACTCCATGATGCGGTAGTAGAAGCGTAGCCCAAGTTTGAAGCGCGTGCAAGCCAGCTCTGAGGCTTGAACCCCTACCTCACCCACGTAGTGCCCCACAAAGAGCTCCTTCAGTTTCTCCACTCTCTGCTCGACAGCGCTCTGAGGATTGATGGAGCACCCCTACAAGATTCCAGAAAGTTAACGTTTCAATCACAAGAACAGGGGGGCGTTTCACAAAACTTGTCATCAGTGAGAAATGACAATTTGTGTCATAAGCTACTGAAATCCTTGCTTCTGATTGGTTATCAGCAGATTTGTCACTGATTTTTGTTATTTGTCATTGAAAAACGGCTTTGTGAAACGCCCATCAGATTTAAAGGTATTGCTGACAACTGGTTATGCTGCTGCTGTGAAAGACACTGTTAAATAATTACTGAGTGGCTAAGGATTTTTCTTGAGTTTATTACAGAATCACCGAAATGATAACAAATTGACTCAAGCGATGAAAAGCATTGCAAACTTTAAAGCCTTATTCACATATAAAAAAAAAACTTAAAAATTGATATGGCAAAAGAAATGGCATAATCTGGGCCCCATTTCACAAAACTTGTCATCAGTGACAAATGACAGTTTTTGTTATAAGCTAGTGAAATCCTTGCTTCTGATTGGTTATCAGCAGATTTGTCACTGATTATTGTCATTTGTCATTGGTAAAAGGGCTTTGAGAAAAGGGTCCCAGAGTGCACCTATATTTCTGTATTCTTTAACACACAGATGATTGTGTATACTTAGGGGCTTTTGTTGAAAACAGCTACTTCAACTTCAGTCCACTTGCCATTCAGTTGTAAAAAATGTTTTTCTTTTACTGCAGCGCTGTGGGTTTTTAAACAGGATTTACAGAATCACATGCCAACAAGGCTTAAAGGCATCGTGTAACAATGTTAAATCTGAGATGCATGGCCCTACATGTTATCAGTGTCTGTGATATGGTGTAATATTGAAGCCCTAAACAAATCACGCTTCCAATAGATCAAGAAGTGCCTCAAAAAAGTAAAAATCTTTGAGTGACCGGTTTTACCATAGTCGTTTTCCCCAAAAGACTGTAGTGTTATGAAAACCGTTAGGAAAACGCAAAATTTGGTTTCGATTTACAATCATAAATATCTTGATAATCAGACAGACGATCGGCTTGTAAAAGTCATGGGATTCCTGACTGACCTAAAGGTTTATAATTATCATTGCAGCATGAGCTAAATCCAGGATTTGGTTTCAGAATCCAAGACAAAGTTACCGGATCCCTTTAGAAGGATCTTTGTATTAGACTCACCTCAAAGTAGCTGCACAGGACATTGGACGGTGTGTCCCTCGCTCCGGTCAAGAGAGATTTCAATGCTTGAACTGTGGTCACTGCTCTCCTACAAACAAATATAAACATCTTTTATCAGGCATCCATCATCATGCTCTCATCTGGGACCCATTTCACAAAGCCTTTTTCCAATGACAAATGACAAAAATCAGTGACAAATCTGCTGATAACCAATTAGAAGCAAGGATTTCAGTAGCTTATAACGAAAACTGTCATTTGTCACTGATGACAAGTTTTGTGAAACACCCCCAGGTATCAATGAGGCACAACACTACATCCAGAGGTAGTGAGATGCAACCAATATTTTTGAATGCCTATATGAACAGTGATGTACAGCAATTATGTTAATGTATTGCTGATATGTTAAAAGAAAAGTGAATAAAGAAGTAAATTATTCCATTAACCTGTTGATTAACCTGATTTCCCTTGTTCCCATAGGTTTAATGAAGAACCAGTAGACTATGGGGTAATATGAGATGGTGATCAAGGAAATTTGCTGCATTTGGCTGTTGTTTGGAAGACATTAATCTATATTTGCCTCTTCCTTCCAATGTGTAAATGGGTATCTGGTATGCTAAACTGCTACATATTGGACGGTCAAGAATAAGGCCTAAAAAAAAAAATGTTGTATTTAGGTGCCAAAATATGGGTTGGTCATCAAAATCTTTTTTTTTCTTTTTTGTTGTTTTTCTTCCTCTTTGGGCTGATATTTTTCAGTTTTTAATGCTTTAATATTTTTTTTCTAAAAAAATGGTTAAAAAAAAGAAGTAATAATACACAACAAAATGTTTTACGCAGTTGTTTGTTAGTGGAAAGGCATTACATAAATAATGGTCTCCCCCGCCCCCTCCTCCCTCTTTTTCCCCCCTCCTCACCTACCCCTCCCCGGTCAAAAAAGAAAAAGCTAAAGGGAATCCCCTACCTGACAGGAGTAAGGAAGACTGGACTCTTGACCGTAGAGTCTGGTGATGGGGGCACGCCAGGCTTGACCGCCTCTGGCTGGGTCAAGGTTGGGTCAAGGGTCAGAAAGCTGACCTCATTAATGTCACCCGCTGCCTGGTACATCTGGTGGTAGCTAGACTCCAAATGTTCCATCTATCAATAGAAGCAACATGAAAGAAAAGTTTAAGGTATGATCGGAACATGTGGTCCTTTGACCTGTGGCTCTGTCACGTACTTGATTTGTTGAATACAGCAACAAAGAAACATGTAAAAAATAACAACGACCTGTCCAAAAATTGTTAACAGTACAAAGAGGAAAATAGTACACATGTACATTTACAAAAACAGGATGAACATACGAAGGAAAAAATACAACAAACATATGCCCTGCATCTACCAGTAATTTGGTTTAGCCCAGCTGCAAGTTTGCGCAAGTCCAATCAATTTTTAAAGAAGGCGCAATAACAAAAAAGAAGGTTATGGCATTTGGGGCACTGGTTCAGATGAAATTATTCTCTAACATATTTGTCTTTAATTGTTATCTATTCTTCACTATCAATAGTAATACAAAATTGTATAATTTGTTGGCTGATTCCACATGCAATGCAAAATAGGCAACAAAAACAGAAATAAAGTAGAAGGGTCTGAACTGGAAATATGCAATATTTGCAGCAGAGAAATGTAACCTGGCCCTGCACAGGAATATTTTGTCAAGCTATGATATTAGGATTGGGGTTTTAACTCTTATCCTGCCATAATGAATACAGTCTATACCACAGGGCTAATCCCCATTGTGCCACGCCTCGAATCCCCCTGCGCCAAGTTAATATTGAGATATCGGATTAACGCGATGGTACTATCGATAGCACGGTAGTGTGCAAGCAGCCTTATGGCAGGATATGAGTTAAATGGGTTCCTCACCTTTGGGAAGCCTTCCACATCCTGGTTAGTATTCTCTGATGAGATGGAGTTGATGAATGGTAGTAAGATGCTTCTCTTTACCATGGTAACCTCATCCTCTGCATCAGCTCCTCCCACTCCTCCTTCCTCACACACCACCCTCAGGACCCTCTCGTTTGTTTTATCTTCAGAACCAGAATCGTAGCGTGGAGAACCTTCATGTAAGAGGGAGAAATGTTTATGGACATCGCAATTAATGGTGACATTGTTACAATAATAACAGCCAGTCTTGCACACCAAATATTTTCCAGAATGTCATCAATGATAATGTATTACACATTTATATTACAACTTTATGAGATGACATCATTCATTTCGGGGGCAAATATATCATCTTATATTAATCAATTGGTTCCAGAACACTAAAATGACACAATATAGAAATAAAATCATGTCACACACAATCATACATATAAGAATGAAAAAAGTAGAGTAGTTCCTTCATATACTATGAACAATATACTATTACAAAGCACAGACAAACCTATTGATATATGACCAGTGTCATGCATATCTCAAATCTGTTAATCCTTCTTTTGCAATCTTTCTCAGTGGACTCGTATGATAGAATGCAAAAAGCAAATTTATTTTTAACATATAAATCTCTAAACATTAAATATGAATCTCTAGTTAATCTTCACTTACTGACTGTTTCTCTGACTGTGAAAGGAAGAGCTCTTCTCAAGGTGTAGTCTACACAGCTCAACATCAGATGTAGCGGAAGCACCAACTCACTACATTCACTCAACATAGAACCTGCATGGAACGAATGAAGCAAGTGGACCAACAACCTCATTTTAGAGTTCCTTTCAAATATTCTAATAATACATAATAATTGCACACATACATCCATTACAGGGAATGCTCAAGAGATCTATCGTATTCTATCATTTTCTCTATTCATCGCCCCCCCCCCCCCCTCTCTCTTTCTTTTAAACTCTTTCTTTGAGCTTTCCAATGTCATACCTGCCAACCTTTCACAGCAAAAATTAGGAGTCTCAAGAGGCAAAATTAGGATTAGAGTCTATTATGTATATTTTTTCACACCCACAGAGCATAATTCAGAACAAGAGAGGATTCTAGGGTTCAAAACATCAGCTTGAATGCCCAAATATAGGAATAATCTCTCCAAAATAGGAATGGTTGGCAGCTATGCAATGGCCACATATCACTCTAAATGATTGATTTGAAGATTAACACTGTGAATGAGAAAGCTTGATTATGTTTCTTCCATGGTACATTCCATACCTTTGGCTATCAGAAAGAGCAACCAGCAGACTTTCCTCTTGTCACATGACACATCACATGATCCATCAGTAGAGCAGGGAATCTCATCAGGTGACTTGAACAGCTTGCTGAAAAGCCTATATGTGATCAAACAATTTGAGATTATACAGGACATGAATACTGTTAAGATCAGTTTTGGAAACTCCTTCAAAAAATGAAATGGAAGCTCTTATTACCAATTATGTGAAAGAATATGTTTTGACTAATACGTGATGATACACATTTTGCCGGGAAACCTCCTACTGATTGATATATTTGGTAAATTATTATATCTATTTGGACCTGATAGATATCGCACACGTGTCGCATAGTCCCATATACACCTTTATGTGTACAATGCTTGTAACTTTACCAAGACTGGGCCAAATTTTCTTATCATTTTGATGATTCCAGAACCTTGCAGTACACACCAATACATATATGCTAGATGATCAACCATTTTCTGATCAATTCTACAACGTTTCTTTCACAATGCAGTTGCATGACCAGAAATGTTCTTTACCTTTAAGTTCATTGTGTTTTGGTTACTTGAAAAAAAGTCTAAACAGATATCAACAAATGTACAATTCTACATTAGCCATTTATACAGACTGAAAGACAGAGACTTTGTATCGTCTGAAAGGGAACAATATAAATCAAATTATTATCACTGTCAATATTTTCATAATTATCACCATTATCATTAACATTATAGTCATTATTCTGTGTAAAAAAATGCACTAATAACAATGTTTGTTTCTTTTCAAATTTGCAGAAGGTAACATAGATTATGAGGTACTCTGTTTCAATGTCAACATCACTTTCACGATATCAAAGTGTTACAGAAATATGCTTATGAAAAGATACTAAAATGGACTGAAACTCACTAGGAAAAGTGTTTCTTACTTTTCAAATTTGCAGAAGATGGCATACGTGATGAGGTATTTCTGTTTGAGAGCCATTAGACTGCTCTTGACTGTATCACTGAAGCTGAAGATCTCTTCCACCTTACCCATATGCTCAAAGAATGTCTTGATGCTGAGGGTAGGAACAAAATGAAATCATGAAATAAAATTATGTGTTAACTCAAACCATTTCATAACTTACAGATGGGATGACCCAATACTTAAAAATAAAATTGTATAAAATCAATTACAAAACCTTTACCTGGCACTCCATTTGTCAATGATTAAGGTGTATAAATACAATACAAGAATATACAAAGACTGTGCAAGGAACCCAAGTCAGACATGAGTGTGACAATACTCATACTTCCCTTTTTACTTCCATTTCAAGAGTGTTAAAGCCACACTGTCCTACTTCCAGCTTCTTGCTCCCGTTATATAAAAAAGGATGCCTAATTGGTGACCATTGGTCCCCCATGATCCCCTTTTTCTTATGTAAATTGAGAGCTGAGTTGATGAGATATCCACCTGTCCAGTGACCTTGCAGGGCGGTCTATTCCCTCTTATAAACTAGTACAGATAAGCTTTAAGACTTGCAACTTCTCTTTACAGAAGTAATATTTGAAGCAGATATATCTAATACAGTGTACTGACATAAAACCTGATACACTTACAGCAAGCAAGTTTTGGTGGTCAGTTCCCTTTAAAAAATACTTTATCATTTCCTTATTGAGATAACTTTGGTGACTTACTTGATATTTGAAGCACGCAGTAAGTGGGAGACTGTCGGGAGACTGGAAGATTCTGGTGCTTCGTGACCGCTCGATACAGGTGCTCCTTTCCTATTCATTGGGAAAAAAATGAAGTAGATCAAGCACTTTAAAAAGGTTTATGAAAATGTAATTATATTATATCTATTTTACTGTGATTATTAAGACACTTTAAAAGGATTTATGAAAATAATGTTCATATTTTATTTATTCTTGGAAACCTACACACACAAAAAAAATTCAGTCTGGACCCCCTGTTTTACCATTAGACTTATCAGTCATATACTAGTATTTGAAGAGCATCAATCTGTAGTACTCACCCATATTTGACGTTGACTGTGGCAATATAGATTGCACAAACTGCCCAAGTGGATTCATTTTCCTGCAGAAATAGATGAGTTTGAGAGAATCAGAGCAGGTTGATCACCTATAAATGTATTAGGTTCCATGCCGTTACACTATATTCAAATCTCAAAATATCAGCTTTCATATGTCTGTGAGATTTTTCTTTTCATTCTTTCCTCCTCCTTCCCCCCCCCCCCCTCTCTCTCTCTCTCTCCTCCCTCCTCCTCCTCCTTCTTCTTCTCCTTTTCGCTCTGCATCCTTCACTCATGAAGCTTCTTGCAGATGAATTATTCGTAACAAGAGATGTGTACAACTAGGTGTCATATTCAAATTGTTAAGGTGCAACTAAAACCCCAAACAGCTAGTTTATGTTTTTGTCCAGAAATCATAAAAAGAGAAAAATCATCATACCCGAAATTCTACTCGATCAGAAGCCGTCCATATCTGGAGAAGTTTTTCCGCCTGGTCCCTCACTGATGCATTGACAGGCGATGCGAGGTGGCTCAAAACATTGGCTACACTCTCGTCCATTCTCCACCTTCTACTGCAGCTCCTCAATCTGGCAAATATCAATTAACAAAAATTCTTTCAAAATATGATTATTCAGAACGAAAATAAAGTAAATCTATCTTGTTACACAACCAAATTAAATAAATACATCACAGAGAGAACAGACATGTTCATAATACTGAAAGAAAGTCTCTTGCACATCCAAAAATGAAAGGCTGCAACTACTTGTTAATTTAAATGATAAGTGAGAATTTGAGTCATATCATTTTTGGACAGCAGCCAGAAATGCAGGGTCAAAGTGTCGCCAAGGCAAAGATCTTCTTAGAATCTTACATTACAAATCATCCTCAAAAAATGAGAAAATTTTGTTTAGCGATTCCACAAAGCCATAGGGACAAATTGAGTTTATCAATTATTCCAACAAAATATTGACAGTAATCTACTCTCTGTTACTGACACCGACAGGTTGAATGCATGCAACCATCACTTACAAATTATTTTTAGACCCACATAATAGTTCAGCGAGTGAATCATTTCTCTTCTTTTCAGATTTGGGAGACTGTCTCCCATATTAAAGATTAAGCTCACAAAATAACAAAAGAAACAAGACCAACATTAAACAACAATTACGAGGCTATTTTGCTCAGCCAGATTTGTTGGCTCTCATGCTTTGGATTAATGAACAAAAATGAAGTTTAAAATATAAACACGTCATAATGAATGTCAAGTTAAGTTCTACGGTTCTATATCTAGCCTAGTATTTTTATAAGGTAACTTTATTTATGCTTTGACCCTTTGTAAAATCTAAGAAAAGTAAGAGTAGAGTCTAAGAGTAAGACTCAAATTCAAATAAGTAAAGTCAGACTCAAAGATTGAAAGTAAAACTTGAACAAGTTCAACTCAATTCGAACTCATGCAGTCAGATCAAACTCAAGTCGAAGGCAAAGAAACTGAGCATGCATGTCTACTAGATCTAAATTAAATTAGACTAGATGATCATGATAGAAAAAATTGTATGAAATTGCATTGTCCCTCAAAATGGCAAATGAAAGATGGGTCCTTGTTGATGTTATTTGGTGTTTCTGTGCAGCACTTGCATTGCAGCTGCAGTCCGCTCCGATTCTTTTTAAGTGTGGTCCCACACGCTTATTTTCAAGTTGCAAATTTTTAATTTTAATTTTTTTAATAATTCTTTAGCTGCTGAATTTGATAAATAATTTACTTAAGAAAATGAAATCAAATGCATCAACAGAGGAGTTTGCAATTTTACCCGTTTCTGTACCGCGTACCGTCTTCTGTATTAAATGAGGCGATGGAAAGAGGCGATTATTCGATAGATCTACTCGTCTCTAGCTCTCTGAGCTCTGTATCTGTACTAAAAGTCGCGCGTGACGCGCGACGTGCGACGGGTCCGCTCAATTGCGCGCGAGAAATTTATCCCGACCGCTCCAATTCCAAAGTTTGCATCCCTTCCGCTCGTCAACCGACCAGTCTTCATACACATCATACTTCTTTTTAAAGAGAAAATGCTTTTTTGATGACCTTAGATTTTGAAAAGGCAGTTGACTCCGTTTCTCATTTATTTTTATACAAAGTCTTAGAATCATTTGGGTTTGGACCATTGTTTTGTAAATGGGTAATACTGAAAATTGTGTTATGAATGGATACACATCGACAGGTTATTTAAGGTTGAAAGAGGAATCAGATAGGGTAGGAGACCCCAATATCTCCATAATCATTTATATTATGCATTTAAAGTTTAGCTCATATGATTAGAAAAAGTCACTTGTTAAAAGGAAGTTTGTTTTGGCAATACAGAAATAAAGCAAGTATTGTATACGGATGATCATCAAAGATAGGAGTTCAGTTATGGAAATCATGTTGTTTTTTTTAATATAAAATATCAGGATTAGAGCTGAACAAAGATAATAAATATATTCTGCCCCAGGGCCCACAGGTGTCTAATCATACGTTTCCGTTAGGGAAGCTCGTAGATGTTGTTAAGTATTAGGTGTTTATTTTTCAGTACTTAATGTAGATAACAAGTACGTACAAGTTGATTATAAGGAAATATTGAGCAAAATTTAAAAACATTATTGACATGGTGGAAACAGTGTGATTAACTTTAATGGGTAAAAATTCATTTGATGAAAGTAGTGGATATTCTAAATTTATGTAACATCACATGCCAGTTCCAGAGTGAGTATATAAAGAAATTGAAAAAATATGCTTTGATTTCTTGAGGAGAGTTAAAATAAAATTAAAAGAGGTACAATGATTTTATACTATAGTACAGGGTGGGCTCAAAATGATTAGTTTTTAGGTTGTTTGTAAAAGCACAAAGAATAATGTGGATAAAAAGCTTGTAACAGGAACTCTTGCTATCAACTGGAAACAATAGTAAGTTTAAATATTTAATGAGACCGATGGGAGGGAATTTAATATTTGATTGCAATTATTGGAGGGATACAGTGAAATTCACGGTTACCTTCTTTTTATCAGAATCTTCTGAAAGCATGGATAGATATGAAAGAATATGTTAAAATAGAAGAGAGATAAAAGAGGGAATGAAATACTGTATAATAATAGTTCTATTCAACTGGAAGGTCAAACTTTATTTGAGGAAAATATATTTAAAAAAAATGTATATCGACTTCATCACATTTGTGATGAAAATGGAGAATTGAAACCTGCATTCCTATTTTATAATGTTCGGTTTGAGCAGAGAGGAAAGTAAACAAAATGTACACAGTAGCCCTAGCTATGAATGGAAACAAAACGTTCAACCTTTAAGAAAGTCAATTCACAGCTATATTGGCTTCAGTTTAGAATTTCTATATAATAAAGTGTTAAACAAATGATTTGAAGATAAAACTGCAAAGGTGGTATATATCAAAGTCTCATTAAGAAGAATGTAGAAACAAACCCGGCAGGCTGATGTCATTTTATAATATTTCAGAGCAATTATTGAAACCCCCCCCCCCCCCCCCCCACTGAAGTAAATATCGGTCTCCATAATTTTATAATTTCCGGGACAAAAAAAAAAGTGCTGTTACCACCCCCCCTGCTTATTCAGCGACTGGCATAGATTTTTAAATTTTAACCCCCCCCCCCCCCCCCTCACCCCGTGAAAAAATCCTGCGTATGCTACTGGTTGTACCTGTTATCGTGTGTTTTAGTGTTGTGTGGAACGGGGCAGTAGGTGTTCTCTTTCTCTTTTTTCTTCTTTTTATCATATATCTTGTTATTTTTTTTTTTTTATCTTAACCCTTTTTTGGACATTTATCTGCTAGCTGGTTGTGGAAATTATAAAAACTATATGTGCGATTTGTTTAAAATGTGAAACTATAATTTTGTTCATGTGAATATTTTTCTTCTGTAAATGTGTAACTTCATTTGCAAATATATTTTATATGAAAATTTATTTGTAACCTTGTATGGAAATGTTAAAATTCATTTGCAAATTTATTTAGGCCTATGTGAAGATTATTTGTAATTTTGTATGAAATTTTATAAATTATCTTTATGAGAGAAGAGAATAACAACCAATGAAATAAAAAATTTAAAATCTGTGAATCGCGTGAAGCATCCGCTGGACCCCAACGCAACATGTTTTTGTATTTATATAGTTATAAGAGACCTTAATTTTCTGAAATGAATGAACAGTAATTTGTGGAAACAGTCAATACTTTAATGTATACTCTGCTATAATTCACTATAATCTGCTATAATGCGTGAAATATGCAACATACGAGTTGCATCAAATGAAAGAGGAGGGTCTAAGATTTACAAATAGGTGTCATTAATTAATTTTTATTGTGATTAAATTATGATAAAACATCAATAATTCTCGGTTTCGTTTTTTCTGGGACGCACTTATATGTAAGTAATATCTTACATCTGTGAAATGATAATACATTTGAGTGCTCTTTTAAAGGAGTTTGATGATTTTATATTTCGAATATTGTTAGGTAGAGAATTCATACATCTGGACCCCTTTGTCTGATTGATTTCTGGGCTAATATATAGGGTTAAGCATCTTTTACCACATGAAAAACGCTCTGACAAAAAGCTTCACTTTTGTCCCATGCACTTTCGCCAAAAAGCTGTAAGAAATGTAGCCTACTGTCGAACAAGTTTGGTGCCAATGAAAAGATTAACTCTTCATGATTTTATTTCTATTCATTTCTTATGCAGTTTACAAATACATTTAGCACAGTCATAATGATATTACACATAATGATAGACTGATAGTTAACAAAATTAATAAACATATTCAGAAAAAGCATGTACAAATAAAAACTATTTTTTTAAAACAGATAACAGATTGTTTTTAGCAAATATAGATTGGTGTATGCTGAGAGGTTTTGGAAAAATCAAAAATAAGAAATTGACCCAGTTCCACTGAAGGTCACCAGGGTCACATGAACAATACTAAAAAATACTATATGGGACTACATGATGTGGCATGAACGTTTTGTCCAAACACTTCAGCTACGTATTTTTTCAGGGGAAAATTTTCTAATATCTTCTGCACCAGCATATAATAATAACATAAAAGCTTACAATTTGTCTTTTAACTTTTCCTGAAATCAACTCTTATCTTTAATAAGGATTTCACACAATTATAAGTTTGCCTCAGGTGAAAAATCAGAAGGAAAAAAAGAGTAACACTGGAGAAAATCTGATGAGTAATGCTATTGTGAACGCCAATAACATTGAGAAACTTTCATTTGTCATAGTTGGATTGCTCTGAAGGAACCATACTAAAATGTATACTATAATGCGCAATCTTTACTTCTTTATATGGAGCAGACAATATTTTCACCGGATTGCTTTTTTATTATGTTTATGATTATGTGACCTGTGAATGCAGGAAAATGTGTCTGTTCCATCGATCATTAGAATATTAATTTAGAAAAAGATTTGTTAAAAGTTGTTATAGCGTCAGCTGATGCTTTAACCATGTAAAAGCTTGAGTTCCTATTTTAATGTGTGCATCAGTTCTAAAAAAGGAAATAAAATATTGTTGATGAATTGTCATTAAGAAAACGGACGATCGTGATAAAGTATAACACATTGAGCACTATAACAAATTGGTCAAAAACACTACTTTGAAAATACAGTTAATACCACTGAATGATTATGAAGAAATTAATGAGAACATATAATCGTATAACACCTATTAAAAAACATGAAATATTGACAAAAAGTGATTTGACTAGTTTCAATAATTAGTAACTCATCACAGTAAGACATCGCAATGTTTTGACAATTCTTGAAATAGCACTATAAAATATTGATTTTAAGCATTCGAACTTTTCGAAGGCATGTAATGAGTATCATTATCACAAGTCTAAAAGCATAATGTAGCGAATCAACATTCCTATAAAATGTTGTATCTGGTGCAATTATTCCACATAAAACAAACATACCATATAAAATACCTTTATTCATTGAAATATCGAGACCTATACATAATATACATGTATTTTCTAGATGTAAGCAGTTTTAAAGTCCCACTGTCCTACTTGTAGCTACTTGCTCCCTCTATATAGAAAACTTCCCCAATTGGTGCCTGTTGGTCCCCCATGATCCTCTATTTCTTATGTCATTTGAGAGCTGAGTTGATGAGATAGTCACCTGTCAGTGACCTCAATGTGTGGTCTAATCCCTCTTAGCCACACTAGTGTTAATAAGCTTTAAGTAAAAAAAAATCCACGCTCAAAAGCAGTGGAATCTACCCTCATACATGTTATTCGAACCAGTAATTTGGAATGGATTCCAAAATAATATGAATAGGCCATTTTTGTAATGTAACCAAATTTATAAACAAGTGCCTTGATTCAATTCGTATCAATGCGCCTCATAAAGGTATATGCATACATTTGGTTACATTACAAAATAGGCTTATTGACTTTTTCAACTAAAAACAAAGTGATCCCCAATTATCATTTCTTAAAGAGTGGATTTCCACTCCATTGCTCTACTGAGAGAGTGCATCAGGTTATACACCTTATCCTTTTACTGACAAAGTGGTCTCAGTGGTCTAATATCAACTGAAATTATTGACTACTTACTCAAGTAACCTATCAGTGCTTACGTTATTCAAGGAATTCCCCCCTGCCTGTAGCCATTTAACACCTGGGTGATGAGTGGCAAATGTATATTAATGTAATGTCAAAGGACATTAGTTGCCTTGGTGGGACTTGAACCGCGAATCCTGTGATCGTCAGTCCGACGACATATCCACTAAACCACAGTACACCTGTCCTGGCATGGGGAGTATTTCACAAAGACTAAGATCGACTTTAAGTTGGACTTAACTATGGCAGGCCGTTCATTCCACTAGTTCCTCAAGGGACGTACAAATCATGGTAAAACCTAAAGATCATAATTGAGAGACCAATGGTGAGAGCAACCAGAGGCATGAGAAAAAAGTTCTATAATTTGGTGTTGTGTTTGCTCCTTCTACTTGCAACCACTGTACTGATTGTCTTCATTGACTTCTGACTCGCATTAGCCCTCTTCTTCTTCTGACCGATGAACTCCGTGAACGTGTAGAGATAAGGATTCAAGGTAGAGTTGATGGGCAAGATGAAGACGGCCGACCAGGCGTAGAGAGAGACGGGGAGCTCGACTAGCCTGGCCTGGGAGAGGATCCCCATGATGATGACTGGCATCCAGCACAAGAAATCGGTGCCGACGATGACGGCCATCTTGAAGGCCATCCTCACCTCCTGGTCGTGCGGTGATCCCCTGTTGCGGTCCTTCCCGATGTTTTTTGCCGACCTCCTCACCTGGACGAAGATGATGATGTAACAGATGAGGATGAATAAGAAGCAGTTGAGGTTGATACCCAAGAAAAGTACTATGGAATAAATCCAAGATGGCTGGAGGCTTCCGTCATTGCTGGACTCAAAGATAGAGATGCCCGAGCTGCGATCGAAGACTAGAGTTCTCGTCCCTGTTGATTCTACGCTCAGCGGCAGACCGATGCAGACGTCGGATAACCAATAGAACCCAGTCACGAATGAGCCAATCACCACGGGCCCCAGGCTGAGGATGATTGTGATGACCCATGTGATGCCGACACAAAGGCGCGCCGACTCGGAGTGGAATTTGAATCTGCTGAACGGGAACACGACACTCAGGAATCGATCGACGGTGATGATCGTCAAAAAGAACACAGAGCTCTCACTTGACAGGATGGCAAGGACACCTGCAAACCTGCAGAGACCCGAACTTCTCCAGTGCGGCGCTTTGAGGAAGTAGTATTTCCCGTAATAGGTATCGGCTGATGCTATAATGATCATGAAAATACCCATGAACCAATCAGCGATGGCTAAGTTCGAGATGAAGAAAACCTGCACATGATTTCTCGTGTTCGATCGCTTCTTGCGGCATCGGATGAAAATAACCATGGTGTTGCCGAAGAGGGCACCGAACCCAAGCAGCCACATGGCGATTCGCAGGACGTTGTTAGGCATGAGTCTAGTGCAGGAGTCTAGCGATGACATCGCAGCTTGTGAGCATTGATCGGCACTGTCAAAGAGACAGCAGAGACGGTAGTCATCCGTCGAGCTGGGGATGAAACAAAAATGGTTCAATTTGTTGCCTACAAGTTTATTTGCAAGCCTGCTGTAAACGGGTCGTTATTTCGCCATCGATCAACGAGTGTGTAGTCTTTGAAGCGCCTTGTGATAGTGACATACTGCGAACAAACGAATCGCAGCGAGTAAATCTAAATGACATCTCGTATGAAACCAGCATATTGTTTTTTGTATTTATTTGAATGCCAATCACATCCTTTGATAGCATAGTATTTTAGTGCCTATTTTTTTCGTTCCTACTAGCACTTTTTTGCATGCCAGCGAATGTGCCAAAATGTGCTAAAAGCAAATAAAAGGTTAAGAAGAAGATAGAACTTACAGATATTGGATATTCTCGATTCCCCTGAACATGTCTGGTTCAAGATGGTTAAGCTGAACCTCCTCCAACACTCTTGAAGTAATATAAAAATACGTACAACAATGACAATAGTAATACCGGTAGATAAATAATACGAGATTCATGCGATTAAGACTATTCGTCAGTTTGTTTCTTTTTTTCTTCTTTTTTCCCTGTTTTTCTGTGTTTTTTAAATAAATACCAGTATATGTAGTGACAAAATCCTGTTTTAGCCGCAGGGTAGGGTATAGTTTTAACGAGAGCTTTCGTAATGATGTAAATCAAAAGATTATGAAATGTCACAGTAAAGTGAAACTGCACCTTTATGAGCTGCAAGAAAGATGGTGATTCATATCACAAAATGTGCTAAAAGTGAACTATTAATTGTGATCCTTCAAGAAAAGAGAAATTAAACAACTTCGGTTTCGACAAAATAAGGATATGACATTTGTTATGGTTCCACATAAGACTAGAGTTTGATTGGTTAGTATGGAACAATTTATGAGAAGGTCGAGTTCAGGTATCAGGAGAAAGTGGTGATGAGCATAATTATCATGATAATATTCTTTAGAATTTAGGGCCCCGTCTTATAAACAGTGACGATTAATTACAACTTATTCATGATTGATATCAATCGCAACTATGTACATAAGAGATATGAAACTGTAAACTTGCGATTGATTTGGATCAATCGCAACTCTTTATAAGACGGGGTCCAGGACCCTGTTTCATAAATACAATGACTGTTATAAGCGACTGAAATCATTGCATTTGATTGGCTGGAGCAAATTCATCATACAAATTTAGCGTTTGTTATTGATATGAAGTTTTATGAAAGAAGGCCCTGGTTTCAGGTGAAAGCACTTCCCGTAAACCTATAAAAACAGCCAACAAACTCTCGGCCGTGCATTTGAGATATGTTTAGACTAATAATAGACTATCTCTCGCTTTTTACTTACAAGTTTGCGATTTTAGTTGTGTGGTCAAAAGTGCCAGGCTCAATATACGACAATGGGTTACGTCGGAATGATCTGAAGAAAACATAAAGACAATAACAATAATAAAAATAATAACGATACTACTACTACTAACACTACTACATATAAAAATGATTATAATAATATCATAATAATGATAAAAATATCAATAACCAAACTAAAACTCATACCGGTACTAATAATACTGATAATAATTATCACAATTATTGTGATAATTATGTTGGATATGATAAAAAAAATATAAAAAAATAATTAGATAATTTGGTCCGTTATCGACAGGGCAGGGGTACAGTAGATTTCAGAATAATATCTGACAAGTAAGATTAACCCCCCTTTTGTGTAATTCAAAAATACCAGATTGGGTTTCAGATTTTGCTGGATTATATGGGAGTATATTTTTCTGATTCTGAGATTTAAAGGTAAAGGTGATTTTTGTAAACTTTAAATTTTGTAATTTTAAAGATAATTATGACAGGCTAAAAGAGTTCAATAAAATAAAATGTAATCACCTGGAAATAAATAAATAGTCTCTTAAAAGGTAAAAAGAAGGAAAAAAAATCAAATTGATTCAATAATTGTTTTCACGAAGTGACGGTAGTGAGGAAAATCGTAACGCAAAGTGAATGCAATTTTTTTTCACTACCGTCACTTCGTGAAAACAGCGACGAATTGTAGTTAACAATGTAGTTATAACTGAGAATGAAGATATGGCTAATTTATTTCTTTGTTAACATTGGTAAGAATTTACAAGATTCAAATAACACAACTTCTAATAATTCCTTCTCTGATTATCTTAAACATCCAAATATATAATCAGTTTTTCTCAAGCCTTTTACTAATTCCTAATCCATAATAATTTTGGATATTTCTGCACCTGCAGATCGATGTGTAAATTTGAACAAATTTGCATTTTTGACAACTCTGTGTCTTAAAGATGAAGTTGAGCTCTGGTCATGCGATTGCATTGTGAAAGAAACCGTGTGGAATCGATCAGAAAAAGTTGATCATCTGGCATATATTTGTGTGTATTGCAAGGTTCTGGAATCATCGAAATGATAAGAATTTTTGTCAAGTCTTGGTAAAAGTTACAAGCACTGTACACAGAAAGATGTATATGGGACTACACGAACACGTGATGAAAAAAATCTGTCCCGATTTTTATGATATTACATGCCACATTTAGAATATGAAAGCATTTGAAGAGCCATGCTTTTCAGGGAACATGGTTTATCTGATGTTCTTCCACATTTGCATAATACCAATGATAACGCTCACAAATTATTTTTCACCTCTTCCCAGAACTCAACCTTCTCTTTAAAACATGACAAGTATGGTGATTGATTCTGACTTCACTCAGAAAATGCAAACAAATTGGCTTTTTTGCAATCTATTTCTTTTTAAAAAAGTCACGTTAAATTAGAAAAATGTAATTTTTACCTTTTTTGTCCATTGTATGGCAGGTTTTTCCGGTGAGTAATCAATATTTGTTTTGTTTTTTTCCTCAAGAACTGCTTACCCGATTTTGACAATTATAGTAGCAAAATAAAGCATTCAATGAAATCTTTTATTCAAAATCAAATTTAAACATGTGTGATCTATTCATATTTTGGGGGTGCTCTACCTAATATAAATGCATACCACGAACACTATGATACGCTCATTGCTTTAAAGGTTGAAGAAAAAAGTCTGAAGTTCATTAGGGATAAAGGAAGAGATGGTAAAACTCATATATATTGGGGGGAAAATTTGGCATGAGCTTGAGATTCTAAAAAAATAAATTAAACTTACATCCATCTCACATTCGAAAGTCCATCGAGCATTCCTTTACGGAGTTCGGTTAGCTTATTGTACGTAAAAGATCTGCCATTAAGAAAAAACGAGACTGCTTTACACCATGAATCTACTTCAGTCAGCTAAAAAGAATTAAATGAAGTAATTAAACAAACAAAATAATTAGCGTAGGTATACAGTAAATATTTGTGTATAAATTAATAGTGAATTAAAATGATTGAATATAGATTTTACAATCTACATACATAAAAAATTAGTTTTTATTATATTCATTTATAATGTATACGTTTATATATCAGGGAAAAATGTCTCATACAATGTTATGACCTTCCTGAGCAGGTGACTCATAGTACCGGTAGTTCTTTATGAAGTTAATCATTATGAGCGTAATTATTATGAACGTAATAAATACAAACGACGAAGGGCATTATCAAATTTTTATGGCAGAGGCGCCCCTTAAAATTGTGCGGTAAAATGTTGTCGTCGATTTTACGACTGACATTTTCATTTATATTTTGGAAGAAAGATGAAGCGATGCATACAAATGCGGGTAAGATTCTAATAATTTACATGCTGATGATTTTGTCGAGTCCACTGAATGCCCCAGTCTCAATCATGCTGATAGAGTTATACCGAAGTATCCTTTTAAAAAAGAATTAAATGTACATAATGAATAGAAATGGCAAAAATGGAAATTGAATTGAATTAAACTAAAATGGTATTCATAACAAAAAACATGCTTTGAGTTTTGCAAGGTAAAATCACAAAAACAAAATATCTTACAAATCTATATCATAGTCAATTATTATGTAGGAGAAAAAAATATAGCTAGAGAAATAGAGAGAGAGAGGGAAAGAGGGGAAGGGAGGGAGAGACGAAAAAGAAAAGAGAAAAAAATGAAGCAACGATAGTGGATTAATTAAATAATATATTGAATTAAAAAGATTACTGAACTTTCCCTTAGCCAGTTTATTGAGTGGCTAAAAGAAGGAGGTACACCCTTATCATCAAACTTTAACTTATACAAGCATTTTGAACAATGATACAAGATTTCTTGGCTGGGAAAGTATGTTTTTGGAACAAACTTATGGTTTTTTTAAAAAGATAAGGCACACAAATTTTGCTTCTTAATAACACAATTTTAAGACAAGACAAATATTCTAATAAAACTTTTTCAAATCAAAATACACTTACAGGTCCGTTATGTTTCCCAGATCCTGGAATGTTCCCGAACTTATTGATTTTAACTTATTATGACCGAGGTCTCTGTAAATCAAAATCATTTTGATATGTATCATCAAAGGGTATCATTAAATTATTTGATCGTTAAATACAATTTATAGAGGAATAAAATCTTTAGAGAAAACTGAATACAAAACATATCGGGGAACACTATCAGTGGAAGTTCAAGAAAACCTATTAAAAAAGCAAAGAAAATAATACAGACATAATTAGTTTCCTATTTCAATGCGTTTATTTTTCTACCTGTCACTTTCAAAACTATGTATCTTTAGAGCAGATATAGGTAGGTTCAATATCAAGATGCCAAATTATTTGTTCTGATCAGTGGAAAATTTAGTTCCTCCCTGAGTTATTGTTAAGCATAATAAGAAATTATCATTCTTTAACAATTATAATTGTCATAATAATTGTAAAGATAATAGACATACATCATAATGCTTGAGAAAATAACTGGAAAATAAATGAATCGATGTATAAGATACAATTCAATCATTATAGAGATATCGACTGCTACGAGAGGACTGGCAGTTTTTATACGCTCAAGGGAAATTTGCCTCCGCTGCTATCAACCCGAGGCGCGTCTGAAAAAATGAAATGAGCAAAATAACAGACTAAATAATAACTTACAACCAAACAAGATTTTTCAAGTTGCTAAAATAATCCATGTGCACCACACCGATCTCATTCTTATGGAGAAATCTGGATTGAAAAGAAATATTCAAATGTCAGGAAAATGGTTTATGCATTCATTCCTATCAAATGCGCACCAACGCCACAACAAAGGGAAATTATGATATTGCGCTATTTAACACAGATATAAACGTAATGTAGCAAATTTATTCTACATGTATCAATCTCCAACGAGGTGCAGTAAATGGGTACCCAGTACGAATAGTTTCCTTGAATGCTCGAGGGCCTTATCATGGTTGGTCTGCTGAAGACGGGGTAATGCTACGAGAGTGATACATGTAGAATAAGCTTTGCAAATGACATTAGTTTAAACTAATTCTCACTTACAAGTTCTGAAGTCTAGTCATGCCTTGGAGAGATCCTCTAGCTAAAGTGGTTATCTTATTCCTTGACAGGTCTCTGCACAAAAGAGAAATGAAAATTGTAAAGTGTATAGGGTGTCACAAAGAAAAAAACAAGGGAGTTGATTCACAAAACAAAGACAAGTTCGTGGACATTTCATTGAAACACATATTAATTTTGATTTTGACACATGTTTCAATGATATACTACACTGCTATACCCGATTACCACCACCAAACTAACTCTTAACCAAACGATAACCACAAACGTCTCGGTCATTCAGAAAAGCATGCCATCGGTAGTTTGGGCCATTCGTATTGAAAAAGTGTTTTAGTTTTTGTAATTTGTACTTATTTCCTTTGTAAAGAATTTGTAATTTACTATGTTATTTTTGTAATGCTGTCTTCTTTTGTCAACGGACTTGATGAAAAACAGCCTTGCGGCTAAAACAGGTTTTTAATTATCGAATTGCAATAAATAAAACTAACAAACAACCCTTGAGTCTTTGAATTTGGAAGGGCAAATTACAAATTTAATAGAAGTCTTTGTTATGAATAAAAGTAAAAGATTTCAATACCATGCGAGTGATTGCATTTCTTTATCTCCCTTCCAAGATGGGACAAAACTCCATTGCGTTCATCCTAATTACTTTGCGCTCTCATTAACATTTTACGAGCCATTATTGGTGCCTGACAGCCAATATTGACCGTTATTGAAAATATAATTAATTGATTTACAAATCAGGCTTTACTCCAGCGGCTTTAGTAATTCCATTCCATAATAAATTTAGACGCAATGGATGGTTCGGGAGATTGAGAAACTCTTTAATGGAAATTATTATCTCTGATCTTTTTGTTTAATAAAGCTATGCGACATAATAAATGGTTCAAGGGGAGGGGAACTCTTTAAGTGAACAAAATTAGCTATGGTTATTTCGTCACAAACCGTGCATTATTATTGTGAAAGGGCTAATCGCCTTGTTTCATTACTTCGAATCAGTTTATAATTGCAACCACAGCAAAGTAAATGACTTTGTTGTACTTATATTGTGTTTATATTTTTTAGCTCTGTTTTAAAAAAAATTTATTGTATCTTATTGTTTTATAATGTACCTTGTCTTTGAAAAATAAGAACGATAAACAGAAACTATATTGATTCAGAATTGTTTACAATTTCATTTTCATGTCATTTTATTCTATTTCAGTACCAAGACCTTTACAAAGCTTTGTTATCACAGTTTAAAAACACTTAAGAATGTTTAATAAAGTCTAAACAATGAATACTCACAAAGTTCGTAAAGATGTCATGTTTTCGAACACACCTTGCTCGATGGCAGATATACCATTCCCGGATAAAATTCTGTTAAGAAGAATGCACAAAATAGAACAATTCACTCTTAGGCAGCTGTTTGGGGTTGAATAAATAATGGTGTTTTTTGTGCCTTGTTCTCTCTCAAAATTAATAATGCTTTCCTTGAATATGATGTCTGTACATTCATTATGTAGTACATGTTTTATGTTCTATCGGTATAGAGAAGTTTGTCTACATCAGAGCAGTGTTCTTGCTTCTGTGCTTTTTAATGTCTATACCAACGACCAGTCAATGCACCCTGGGACAAGAAGCTTCATCTATGCATAAACAAGATAGAAGCCACTCTTTCATCAGCCCTAGACAACCTGACAGACTACTACAACAACAATTAACCATCTGAACCCTGTCAAGACCCAGGTTAGCTTAGCTTGTTCCATCTCCGCAACCACAATGCTGGGAGAAAGCTATCCCTGAAATGGAACGATGTCTCCTTGAAACACTTCAATCACCCTGTCTACCTTGGAATCACTCTAGACCGAACCCTTTCATACAAACAGCAATTGTGATCAGGTGAAGGGTAAAGTGGGGACGAGGAACAACCTCCTACGAAAACTGGCAAACTCGTCTTGGGGTGCCAATTTCTCCACGCTGAGGACAACTGCTCTTGCCCTGTGCTACTCTGCAGCAGAATATGCCTGCCCTTTATGGGAAAAATCATCTTATGCAAAGAAAGTTGATGCAGCACTCAACGACAGCTGCATATACATCACTGGCTGCCTGAAGCCTACGAATGTGGACAGCTTGCACATCCTGGCCGGCATTAATTGCTCCATCCGATATCCACAGAACAGTTGCAAGTAGGACTGAACGCAGCAGACATTTTGAGGACACCCGCCATCCCCTTTACTCCCATCAACCGGCCCCCATACCCGCCTGAAGTCAAGGAAGATCGAGCTTCCTTCATAGAGTCCAGCCAGCACTGTCACAACCTCCTCACTCAACCAGAGTGATCTTGTGAGAAGAGAAACGTTTACGAAAACCACCACCATGAAAAGCTACCAATCCCGACCAAGGAACAGCTGCCACCTGACTGGAAGACGTGAAAGTCCCTTAATAGGCTTTGCACAGGGGTGGGGCGACGCAAATACAACATGCATAATTGGAGATACACTGATAACACAGACATTGACTGCGAGTGGAACATCCATGCAATCTATATGTCACACTTATTAAGATACCCACTCCTAGATGACCAATGCTGCCTGGAAGATCTAGTGGCAGCAAATCTAGTGTGCAAAAGCCTGGCAGAACATTTGAGATCAGATGATGGACACAAAAGAAGAGAAGTTTGTGTAGCTCAAAGAATCGGTATGTCAATTAATCAAAGTAAATCTTGAAATCTATGTGCAAGACGGCTAGTAATTAAGGCGTTCATTATATACTTACAGTCTTGTCAAAAGAGGATACTCGGCTTGAGTGATTGGCAATCCATACTGTAGGTCGGATAAGTTTGTGAGTTTCCTGCAAAAAAGCGTAAATCATAAGAAAGTCCGGCAAAAATATAAGAATCTGTTATATTCATAATACTGCACAAAATTTTAAAGGAGATATTTCTTTGAATAAAATTCAACGTTCAGCTTATAAAACCTTCCAAAATGAGGTTTAAAGATGGTAGAAGTGGGTGAATGATGTGTAAATCTGTACCAAAAAGCAATACAAATTCACTGCTCGATCATGCAACAATTCAATGACGTAATACGTGATCTCTCAAATCGCGGCACATGACAAAATGAGATTAATTTGGTTTTAGCACACTCACAAAATTTTGAAAAATTTGAATATTCTGAATTTTCATGCCCTAAAAATCCAGAAAAATCAAAAATATTCTGGATTATTGCGAAGGGTTGGCAGGTATGTACTTATGTTCGAAGGAGGGCCAAAGATCCCCTCTCCCCTCCCTGAAACAAAAGGATGACGTAGAGATTGCCACTAGTGGCTCGGACTATTGTCAAGACTAGGAGCCGCATATCACCAAAACAATATGTGTGTAGATTAGAGTATAATGCATCTGTGTAGAAAATTTGAAAGAAATCTGTCTAGAAATGTGGCATTTAGAGCCCACAAAAGACAGCCACCAAAATATAACCTTTGACCCTATAACAGACGGAACACAGGTGGCAGCATCACTAAAGAGCATGATGTAGATTTTGGACATATCCTGTTTCAGCGTAGTGAAGACGTAATACCGACGTAATAAGGACGTAAAACATTATGTCAATCATGTGTTGTGATCATGTACATAAATGTCCAGAAAGTTATACATGTGGGTAAACAAATTTTTACTCCATTACGTTCACATTTGTATCCATACTGCATACTTTGCATATGTTCATGTATTTCATGATTTTTTTTAAAGTGTATCTAGTATATGTACACTGCAAGGCATACCTTTAAAGCATTGGAACTGGATGAATTCTCTCTTATAGCTCCATGGATAAATATACAAACAAATTATAAATGAATAGATAGATAAGTAAGTAAATAAATGACTACAGTGTAAAGACAATATATCAGAGCCACGTGGTCTTTACTTACAAGTATCGTATTGTTGACGGTAGCGTCAAAGATCCAAGGTTGTTGATTGGTCCGTTCAAGTCACATGACGCACCAACATTTGAACAAAACAAGCATGTACTCCCACAAGTTGCTGCCTCTGTAGCAAAATATAGAGAACAGAAATATCATCGATTTATTCAATTACAGTACCGGTATGTTCTTTCATAATACAGTCTCATATTCTTATTTGTTCAGTTTTTCGTTTATTCCTTTATCAATTCAAACACTGATTTATTAATTTCATTATCTATGATCTTTTTTCTTAAACTTGCGTTTATTCAGTTGATCTTTTACTCATTTACATCTGTAGTTATCTACGGTATTTACCGTTATTCTGAATAATTTGTTTTTAACTTAGCTTGTTATCTCATAAATCTATCAATTTATTAATTAATTCACTTATTTTCAATCATTCTTTATCCCTGTTACCGGTAATTGATAAATTAATTATTTCACTTATCTATTCATCTTCAGTGATTCATTCGTTTGTTCAACTCTTGGTAAAGTTTCTTTTCAAATTATATTTATTTAATCAAGCTTATGACCTACCGCAATATATCTCGTCGCTTTGATCAGCACAGTCTGGTTTTCCGTCACATATGGATGTCAACTGCACACATGTAACCGATGTGTTGAAGCAGCGCATCCGTTTGGGTGTCTGACATGTGTTGAAGTCTGTAGACCCTGGTATTTAAAAAAAAGAAAAAAAAAAGAGGATCATGTAGTTACATTTCTTGTAATTTATTGTTGATGTATTCATCCAGCACGATGCATACTACAATTGCAGCAATTCTGTCGTTCAAAGGTAGAATCTAAAAACGATTGATGGAAAACTATACTGGTATATAGCATAAGATAAAAATGCGAGGTTTTCCATAAGGCCTAAAATTAAAAAAAAAATGTTATTTGCCCTTTGCGACCGACCTAGCCTTTTTGACAAGGCCTCGTGACTCTGGCTAAGCGGCTGAGATGAGTCTAGATACCCGGGGTGAACGCGCGACCGCCACGAGGGCCTTTTGCAATGTAGATATTACTGCTCCGCATGAATTATTCATAGCATTGGATTTATTGACCAATTAGAACGGTCATCCCCCAGTTGGCTTCGTGATTCGTTCATTATCAAAACATGTAAAAAAAAAGGTAAAAGACGTAAATACGTTTTGCTTATGAGATGAACATATAATTGATAGATACAAAATATCACATTCAAATATATTTTAAACGCAAAATTACAATGAAATAGGAAGCATTTGATGACTTATGCTAACAATCATAAGGGAGATAATTGGACTTTCCCTGTATATAAAATGAACCAGGCTCGTTTTCGTTCCATGTAGAGGTCAGTGGTCTTAGCCCGAACGTCAGCGTGTGTGTGTGTGTGTGTGTGAACTATGAACGTCTGTTCATAGTTAGTAGGTCCATGTTTGTACTATACGTACAGTTTACTCCGTGTGTGTGTGTGTGTCTGATGGATACTATATGCTGACGTACGTAATGCGAGGATACGTTCGGTGATTGGACGCTACTATTTTCGGTACAGAATTCCAGTCGGAAACAATGGTTAACATAAGAAATCAAAACCAGATTACCAAAGGCTAACTGGCTGTGATTCTCGCTCTGTCGTTCACTCGGGCTTTCGCGATTAGTCTCTTTTTAGTCGCTCGGCGTCTATCAGACATGTGGCCTTGTTCAAAGGCTACGACCGACCCAAAAATCTGAAAATCTACGGTCGGCATTTTAAAAAAGTTTTTTTTTTAAACCTTTTTTTAGATTTGTTATTATTAATGAATAAAAAAATATGTATTGTTTGTTGGGATAAATGGGATATAAATGCATAAAATCAAATCATTCTCAATTTCTCACTCGTCTTCTGCCCTATAGTTTCAAAATCCTACTAGCGTAAACATCTCGATCAACACAACGTTATTATGAGGTGAAAAAGATATAAATGGAATGATGACGCTGAAACACTTGTATTAAAGCATTAAAAACTGAGATATATCAGCCAAAAGAGGGCGGGGAAATAAACATTAAAAACTGAAAAATATCGGCCCAAAGAGGGCGACAAAAAAAAAGTTTAAAAAAAAAAAAACTTTTCCGACCGACCGACCCATGTTTTGGCACCCAAAGGGCAATACAACAAGTTTTTATTTTAGGCCTAATTGAAACCGAGACGATAAATCTGAACAAATTTTGTGAGATTATTTTCATAGGAAGGCCTGTTTTGGAAGGCTTATTTTACAACTCATTTAGTTTTACCTTATAATTCTGAGAATAAAATTGAAAGATGCAGCCGTAATATGTACCAAATATGCTTAATTATTTAGGATGTATTGTGAGAAATAATATATTGAGAACACAAACAATTCTCAGCCAGCCATCTTGCCCATTGCTAAGGAAAGGAAATAGATTCTTAAAATAATCAAACAAAACCTTCACTAAATGTTCCAAAGTACAAGTATATAATATCCTTCAAACTATTTGAATGAAATTTGAGAACCTTCTAGAAGTTTAGTATTCAATGATTTTTTACTATTTTTTCTAAAGAAAAAAAAGAAGCTATTAATGTAAAAAAAGAAAGAAAAAAGGACGATATAATAGAAGCACTCAATCGAGGTGCATGACACATGATCTAATTTACGAGTACATGTTTTTCTGAAATATATCCGGCTAGTTATTGCTATATCTTTCTTTCTCCCATTTCTCTTTAAAAAAAAAAAGAAGAAAAAAAAATGCCATTCCATTACCAGGGCACCATCTTACAAGACAGTTGTCCCTTGTGAATGATTAAAATCGATTTTAAATTTGTGAAGATACGTTTTTTTTTAAAGTTCCTTCTCTCTGCTTTTAATAGGGGAAAGGAGAACGAGGCCTTCTTTTGATGAATGGGTAGAAGCTTCCATTGTCCAGGCTATCAGATATTGGTCGATAATGGAAACAATTTTTTTTTAAAAGATACGTTATCCCCCCCCCCCCCCCCACATTATCTGTACAAATGTATGCTTTCTTTCAGAATTTCTTTCTTAGACTCGATCAATATGAAAGTTCTCTCTTAGTCTTACGTTTAATTTCCCCCGTTTCTATAAAATAGAATCCATTAGCAAATTCAATGATAGTGATATCATTTTCAGATGCATGCTAAATTATTTTTCATTTGACATTGTGAGAATCTACTGATTTTATCAAAGGTTTCAACTTGCCACATTGACTTTATTTCAATCACAATAATTTTCTTGCTTTCAGTAAAATCTACGGTACATGTATAATTGAAATTCGGTGCGGCGATAAGAAACGTAAAATATCTAACATTTCAGAAAGTGAAAGTGTATAAAAAAAAAAAAACCATTATGTTATATGCCCGCTGAACATGAGGCATCACTTTCATTGCATTATTACCTGTTCTAATCAAATTTTTGAAGGCAATTAGTCGAAGAGCCATTATTTTGATACGATACTTGCACCAATCTTTTTATATTTACTTTGTGCTCAATGCCAGACTCCCATCGTTCGTCAAAGCGCAAGTCTCTGACGCAATAATACGTCAGGGATTGACGCTTCGTATGCGACAGACTTGACAAGACGGCATGCGCTAGTTGAACCGAAGCAACTGGAGCGCCAAGGTCGTTAGTCGTCGAAAGTCAAAGTGTTCTCACCGTTCACTTTCCAATTTCGTCGCAGAGTGTGTTATCTTACACTTTTAAGTGTGGCAAAATAAATTATTCAATTCGTCCAGTTCAAATTCTTTAAAGAATAGTATGAAACTGTCAGTTCAAGATGTAAAATATACATGTAATATCATCTCTAATGAGCACTCGCTCAATAAAACACACGCTACACAATATATATATATATCTCTTTACATGCACTTTGATAAAAAAAATTCAGCACATACATCCCCTGATCCACCAAACACACAACGTTATCAAGATTTTTACAAAACGTCCACGGGGGTTAAAATTTTTATAGAAGCTCATATCCCAATAATGATTTCTATTTCTTAGGGATTGGGCGTTCCCAAGATTTCACAAAACCTCCTGTGGATGTTAAAATGTATAGATACTTACGCATTAGGTCAAGGACAATTAAAGGTTAAATTCCAATGGCATTTGAAAGATAACACTAATTCCCTAAAAAAAGAGGGACTTGAAAATATCTTTAAGTGGGAAAATAACGACTATTAGTTGTCGAATCGACTTAAGAGCTATAGAGCCCACTAAGTAATAGTCTGATTTTCAGACCATTGTACCGAATGGTCGTACGTTTTATGCTGCGCAAAGATTCAATCAGCTTAATTTTGGCCATTACAAGGAGTGGGTTATTGATGTAGACAAATGCTCATGTACCCTTAACGGCTCATTTTATGTATGTTATTACCAAAGAAGAAAAAAGCCAGTCAGTCACTCAATAGTGTCTGACAGTGAAGTGTAGCAAGTAAACGGGTTTCCTTGCATAATTTGAGTATTAGGACACTGCTAACTTTTAAATTTCACAGATAGGACATATATGACATAGTCTTAATTCCTGCAAAGTTCTACAGAATTTGATGTTGGCTGCCAAAGGGACATATACGTAGTATCTTTAATGTCCCAGGGGATCTGGCAAGGATTTGATTGAAGAAAAAAATAAAAAATTGAAACTTAAAAAGAAAACTTACTGCACAGAAATTCGTCATCCTCTCGAGGACAAATGGCTGTTCCGTCACAAATATCATCCCGGTCATAGCTAACATCGCTTCCGCTGCATCTAAAGCCTCCTTCCGGTTGTTGCGTCGTTACCAGACCGAATTCATCCGCTGTAAAATGGTATAAACGGAGTATATCTGTGTTATGGAGCATTGAGCTGCATTGTTAAAGACTCTTGACTCTTTAACAAACAAGAAATGCGTTTCTGTCCAGGTGCTAACGCTCTTCATGTCCTTGTATAAGGTATTTTGCCCACATTTGTCTCTCTCGACCCAGGTGAATCGAATGGCTACCTGTCAATGCTGGGGTAGCTATACATTCAGGGCACGCAGGAAGAGCAATATTAATCCTGATGTGGCTACCAGTGGTAAATGAGGCAAAGTCATTATCAACCTCGTATTACACATTATGACGAGCAAAAAGAAAGAAAAAAGAAAGAGAGATAATTATATAAACAAGAACTTTTGCGACGATAAGAATAAACTTGTGAAATAAAACGCTGCTCTATATCTACTGGCTTGACCTTGCAATCAGTTTCAATACGTTTATGGCTATGTTAATGTAATACAGACAGGACAAATATGACATAATAATTAACGCTGATTCCAACCGTAATTACAGGCTGTACGTAATTTAGCAAACCAAGCCCTATGCAACCTTTATAAGTTTGACTATCGGTATATAAAGTCTGGAGAAAGCGTCATCGAGCGATTAGTCAGCTTCTTTTGATACATGAATCGAGGATGATCGTGTTTATCCTCTTTTCAAGGTATTTTTCTCTTATTAATCAACCCTTTATAAAGTCACGTCATCTTTCGAAGGAACAAATCGGTTTATCAAATTTAATATCCCTTTTTCGCCCTAAAAACTTGTATCATATTGCGTGCTTTACCTTTTATGAACTTTGAAGAAATATACTATTTTCTTAATATTGTATATTCATAATCATTGATTTCAATATGAATAGTTTATCAAAATTCATATTTGTTATGATTTAACCCTAAAAAGGCCGGGCTATTTGAGTTTTAATACGGCCGGGGGGGGGGGGGGATTAAGGCCCCCCCCCCAAGATCTCGGCAGTGAAACGGCTGATCGCTGCGAACATTTGCACGCATGTAAAGTGAAGTGTATAGAAAATTATGGTAAATTTATTTTTTTTGAAAAAATCACTAATTTGCATAATTACGGTAATTTATGCAAATAAGGTCATACTATTTACCTTTTTTACCCAGATTTTCAGATCCTTTTAAGAAATATTAACGCTGAATTACCAAAAATTATCAAAATGGTTTAGAAGTAATAAACTGTCTCTTAATTTAAGGAAAACAAACTATATATACTTTAATAAATAACGATATTCCTGACATTGAAATTACTTTGGATGGTGAATTCATATTGGGAAAAAAGGGTAGCATAAAATTCTTTGGTGTTTTTTTTCAATAAAAATCTGAGGTGGAATAATCATGTGCAATATATTTCTAATACTATTCCACGTAATATTGCCATATTGGTATTCTCTGTAAATTTAAATATTATGTCCCTTCAAATATCTTGTTTATGTTATATAATTCATTAATACTGCCTTCTATTTCATATTGTAACATAATATGGGCAAATTCGAAACGCAACGTTGACGCCATTTTACTGATTACAAAAGAAAGCCGTGCGTGTATGTACTGATTCTTCCTATTCCGACCACACCAATCCCTTGTTTTCAAAACTAAAAACTCTAAAAGCTGATGATATAAATATTCTACAAATAACACTTTTTATGTTTCGCTTACATAATGGTCTACTACTTCATACTTTCCCCATTGTTTCATTTGAATAAAACCATCCACTCTTACCCTACAAGGCAAACTGAAAAATTACATTTAAGAAATCCCCAAACTGCATTGGCTCTCAAATCCATTAGACACACCAGCCCAGACATCTGGGGCCCGTTCCTAGAAACCGTCATAAGTCTAACTTCTTGACTAAATCAGCGTTAGTGGGCAACTTGTCCGCTACGTGTTTCACCAAGCCCTCTTTGCCAAGATCAACGACAACACCCTGACTATAGTTATGACGCCTCTGACACCATCATATCTCTGTCATAACTTTTTAGTCGATGGGCAGCGCCATCACATGTCATTTATTGGGCAGACTATGGCTGGCAAAAAAGGACAATAAATCCTCCAGCTATGATCTACATGTAACTACACATTCACTTAAACAGAGAGATATCGTATTTTATATTGGAATTTTTTGTTGAAAATATGCCATGTTTATATCTAAGGCTCTTTCCACTTTTATAAACTGATAATACGCGTTTATTTCCATATTGTAGAATCCTCGAAGGATGAGTAATCTGCCACGGCAGGCAAGTCATAGTTCGAAGTGTATTCTTTAGTTTTCAGACCCATATTGCTTTCGAGATAAATTCTATCTTCAAATGTGTAAAACGAATAGTTTCAAACATGTGTTTTAACCTTTGGAATGTTGAAGTTTTGTCATTTAAATAAAACACTAACGCCTAAAACATTGGACAAAACTTTCAAAACATTTTTTTTTTACTAAAAATAATTTAAGGGTGTATTTTTATAACCTATCTAATGAAAATATCCGGGGGGTAGCAATCTCAAGAACAAAACTATTTCACCGGTCATGTAATGAAATACTCACAACTATATTTTAAAAGTACTTTTATTGTAGAATCTACACACATTTTGAAGTTTAATTTTCCCTCGTTTTTATTCCTCATTCATTTAAATAATTGCAGTTTTCCTAAAATTACTTTAAAAAAAAAAATCTGTTGGTATTGTGACTAAGGCTAAGTCTCGGCTCCTCTTCTCGCCGATAGTATCGATCTCACGAGATATCTATCTAGTATAAGCTCTTCGTGAAACGGTTTAGGAAGATCAGATACATCTCCGTAGTTGGCGGATAAAGTTACGACTGTCTTGTCGTTGGTTTCTAGGAACGAGCCCCAGGAACTCTCTGCCCATTGTAATAAGAAACCTTAGGACATTGTTTTCTTTTAAGAAGGCGGTTAAAACCATGTTATTGTCGAAGTGTTGATCCTGTCGTGTGTAATTCTACTGTATTCATGTTCGTGTGTACAGTGACTGTACATTCAACAATGATGTGTCATCGTCCATGACCTAGCATCGTTTATCCATCCATAAATGAACCTGCATTCAATCAGCAGATGTATTAGATTTATTATATTATTACCAACGCTCCTTCTTTTCCCTTTCCTTTTCTTCACTCTTTTTAATTTTAATTTTTAATTGTTGTATCTAAGTTGAGGGCTGGGGGCACGTCAAACTACTTTGCTTATTTCTGTAGCCCTTCTGCATCTAATGCATATTTGTTTAATTTCCTTTATTATCTGTATAAAATTATATACACGTAAAATATTGTATCACACCATATTATGTTCATGAAAATGTATTATGAAAAAAAGAAAAAAGATGCATAAACCAATAAATCAAATCAAATCAAAGAGGGGTGGGGGTGGGGGGCATGTGACACCCTCCCCTCCACACTTTACACCATCTGTATTAAAGCTCCTTCATGACAGAATGGACATATTCCTTTTTGTGGGTAAAAATCTACCTTTTCAGATCTGTTCAAATTCATGCTTTATTGTTGGCTGGTGAAATGATCAATTCACCAATAGTTGATCGACAGACATTTCTTGCAAAGTGATATGAGGACAATAATGAGGACATTAATGAGGTACTCACTTTCTGTTGTTTTTTGTCTCATTTAAAGGTAAAATACAAAGTTTTGGTATGGGGTCATGAATTTGGTTCAAATGAACATATTGGAAGCATATGCGATCCTCCAAATTTAGTGATCATTGTCGCGGTTGAAATCGAGTCTGAAGTGATGAAACTGTAAATAATGAAGTCTTTATGTTGTATAGCTCCCTCTCAAAGTCAATATTTTAATTTAGCTTTCATTTCATTTCATTTCATTTCATTTTATTTCATTCGTCATATAAAAACATACATGATTATAACATTGATATTTACAGATAAGTAAAGAACATACAAATAACATAACGAAAGACAAACATAAAATACAAATATATAATACGAATGTGGAACCAGCAAGAAAGAACAATTAAGTCTTGTGTGGGGCTGGTCCCTAGCGACAATTTTAACACCTAACACCTAACAACTAACACCTAACATCTAACACATGATTGCATATATAAAAACTAATAAAATACTATTCACAAAACGTAATTGTTTGTATCTTCTTTTAAATGTATTCAGAGTTGGGCTTGATAAAACAATGTTTCTTGACTAAAATCGATCGATTTGCTATTCCCGTTTGGAAATTATAAATCACAACTGCATATTCTGAGATTTTCATGGTCGCAGCTACAATTGGATGGCTGTATAAGCTATTTGAAATTTATCAAAATTTACCGGGAGCACCGGTAAATTTTTATATTCAATTTTTCTTGAAAGCAGAAGTGTTTTAGGGGCTAAATTTTCTAGTGCTTATAACACATCCACAGGGGCATCCAAAAATTTCAAAATTGTAAAGAATCACTATCCAGCCAATTTTCAAAATGTCCTGAAACTTTCCTAAAGCTGCATTACCTTTAAAACATATAAGATGACTGGCTATTACCAGGTTGTTGTTTTACTCATATTCAACATGTATGCATATGTTTCACAGTTTGTTTTTGGAAAAACATCCTTAACTTATTAATCCTGTGAAATATTAACAAAGAAGTTGAAGAAAAAGAATATCATCATAAAATAAGTTTGCATTTAAGAAACAAATTTAACTTAACATTGTTTAATTCACCATTTATTTTGTAGGACTTTGAAACTTGAATTCATAAAAAAGTTTCATCAAAAAACTTTCCATTGAAATAATTTAATTTTAAGCGCTTTCAATCTGTTTTATTAGAAGGCGTTATAATTATAAAAATGTTTTTTGTTTCAGTCAAAAACATGACAACTGTATTTTTCGGTCAAAAAATTCAAGGGTTTTCTTTGGGTTTCTAGTGTGCTACTATAGTACTAGAAGGGAGATGAGAGCTTAAGCTCTCATCTCCTTGCATGGTAGTAGTGTCGTATTGCTCTAAACCATAGTAAGTTTATCTGGCTGGGTACTAGGCCTATACGGGAGGTATAGGCACATACTTCAGAATAATAATAATATGGATATCTATATAGCGCCAGTATCCGTCAGGCTCTAATGCTCATGGCGCTGTACATATCACAATCACAAATATATCACTTTCTTAAAAAGTAAAGGTAAACTAAATCAACACAAATTATTACGCCACAATTTTTATTGTCATAATTAAACAGCACTGTTAAGAAAGAAATGGGTTTTTAGAGCAACTATGAAGTCATCATGGAGGGCAGTTAAGCTACGCATGCTAAGTGGTAGCTTATTCCAAAGGGACAGACCAGAATGAGAAAAAGCTCTATTCCCCAGGAACTGCGCGTCTTAGGGACAACTAATAATTAAGGAGGATTGAGATGAACGAAGATGTAGACATGAACCATTCAAGTGCGTCTTCATGAAATTCAATGGATGACAATACATTGACAAGATACTCAACCATTATTATAATTGAGAAAAATATGTTATAAAATGAGAGACTCACTAGTTACAGAAGTAACTTGTCCATGTGTCTTAAATTCCAACAACAAGACTCCAAGAAAAAGATGGGTAAACAGAAGACGAACAAAACTAAACATGATTCTACCACTTCAGCTTGGTACATGGACAGCGTACTCTGACGATCACTGCCTCCAACAAGCAAATCAAAACATATTGCTCCGATTGTCTCATTTTCGCTCGCGTGAACATTGCCAGCACAAACCACTGACCTCTAACTCCTGGACGGACCATCGCCCATTCCCATTCACTATACGTTACGTACTAAAGGCTGTATTGTCTGCCCGTTCGTGAATATTCATGTTCTGGCTAAACTCGGCAAAATGTTTGCCCCCCCCCCCCACGGAACGGAACGTCGATGGGTAAATATTTCAAATTTCGGGACCCCCCCCCCCCAAAAAAAAAAGTGTGCCCTTACCGACCCCCCCCCCCCCCCCCCCCCCCCCCCGCTTATTCAGCGGCTGGCTGAGTCGTTGCGAAATGTTTGGTCCGATTTAAAAAAAAAAAACACCCCTTGAAAAAATCCTGCGTACGCCACTGATTACGGTATTAGAAGTTGTATTAAGTTATTTTTTATCTGATCGTAAACAATTAACAATTATTAATGAAGCTGCCCTTACAAACAAAAATGTTCAATGGTATACCAATGGTATACCATTCGGAAATACCACTGAAAATACCTTAGGCCTACAGATACCATTCACAAACACCATTTAAATACCATTCGGATACCATTGAGATTACGCTCGCTACGCTTGAATGGGCACCATTCATTTACCAGTAAAATACCATTCAACCTAATAATAATTGTTTGGACGCTCATTTGCATAATAACCAATGGTAGATGAATGGTACTACTTACACCATTGAAATTTAAATATGAAATATGCAAATTTTGTAACATTAACCTACCATTCACCATTGGCATGGTAGGCCAATGGTGGATGGTGAATGGTAGATTGGCCTACCATTCAACATCCACCATTGGCCTACCATTCACTATCAGCTACCATTGGCCTACCATTCAACATCCACCATTGGCCTACCATGCCAATGGTGAATGGTAGATTAATGTTACGAAATTTGAATATTTTATATTCAAATTTCAATATTGTAAATAGTACCATTCATCTACCATTGGTGATTATGCAAATGAGCGTCCATAAAAATATTATTAGGTTGAATGGTATTTTACTGGTAGATGAATGGTGCCCAATGGTACGTTGTGAGCGTAATCTCAATGGTATCCGAATGGTATTTAAATGGTGTTTGTGAATGGTATCCGTATGGTATTTTCAGTGGTACTTACCGAATGGTATACCATCGGTATACCATTGAACATTTTTGTGAAAGGGCTAGGCCAGAGCTTCTGAGCTGCGGCCAAAGTTGTACCGGCTCCAGTACACTTCGCAAACCCTTACAAACCATTGGCCTACCATTCACCATCCACCATTGGCCTACCATGCCAATGGTGAATGGTAGGTTAATGTTACAAAATTTGCATATTTCATATTTAAATTTCAATGGTGTAAATAGTACCATTCATCTACCATTGGTGATTATGCAAATGAGCGTCCAAAAAATTATTATGAGGTTGAATGGTATTTTACTGGTAGATGAATGGTGCCCAATGGTACGTTGCGAGCGTAATCTCAATGGTATCCGAATGGTATTTAAATGTTGTTTGTGAATGGTATCCGTATGATATTTTCAGTGGTACTTCCGAATGGTATTTAAATGGTGTTTGTGAATGGTATCCGTATGGTATTTTCAGTGGTACTTCCGAATAGTATACCATTAGTATACCATTGAACATTAACGTGATAAAGGTGTGCCCCTATACTGTAATATTTCAATTTTTTGTAATAAAATAGAATGATTTTATAAGCTGCTTTAATACGCTTCCAGACAACGGACGGCATCTCTATCATACTTTATAGAGACTATATATAGACCTATTATTGGATTTGTTTTACTTGCGACTTGCCTGCCTTGGTCTTGTTGTTTAAATATAAGTTTGCTGAACTGACTGAATCAATCAATTCTGCAAGTTCATCGCCGTTTAACAGCACATAAGTTGCTGTTTAAAACTGGCCGTAATGATGATGGTCGTCTGCTGCTTGTTGTTGTTGTTGTTGTTGGCCAAGAGGAGGGATCTCAAATAGTTGTTTCCCACTGATTTTTTCTATCATTGATTGCTGATCAAAATGACGCATGTGATTATTTAATTCCATAGAGCTATATAAGTCTTATCTATGGTTTACTCGGATCTATTCCGTGGTACAGTTACATTTGATATATTTATTTTGTTGTTTCTTGTTTATCAATCAACTGTCGGCTTTTTCGTTTCCCTGTATATAGTTCGCAATGCGCAGGCATCCACTCAAACTGTATTTGTATAGGTATAGAAATACAGTTTGAGTCAGAATGCCTTATATATATATATATATATATATATATTGTGTCAATTTCTCCGATAGTTCTTTAAGTCATATAGGCCAACTAGATTTGTTAATGCTTTTAAAAGTGCAAGGCTGATATCGAATATGATAGTATTACTACAGATACTGGAAGATAGTCCTCTAGTCAATTGGCTAGGATGATCGCTGTCAGTTCATCAGTCATAACATTAACTTATCCTCTAGGTCCCCTACTATTAACTGGGGTGGTTCTCTATCCTCTAGGCCCCCTACTTATCTTAAATTTTGTTAGACCATCATCAAGTTTGGATCCATCTGTATAGGTTGTTCCATTATATTCAAATGATTTCTAATGAACAATTTAACTGCTGTATTGGAAGCGACTATTCCTTTTTACTTGATTATAAAAAGGGGGCAGAAGAAAAATCTGCAATGCCACCACTCTTACATGTTACATGCAAGCCCCGCGGAACCTTTTTCAAATTAAGGGGTATTTTTTACGTCGTGAATTTTACATCAGAAACGCAGTTTGATCAATGTTACATTATCAACAACTTGAAAGGTAATCCCTATCGCACTTCAAAATGCTTAAAGGTAAAGACCAGTTATGGTCATGAAGAAACGTTGTGGAATCGATCAGAAAAGGTTGATCATCTAGCATCTAGCATCTGCAAGGTTCTGGAATCATCAAAATGATAAGAAATATGGCCTATTCTTCGTAAAGTTACAAGCACTATACACAGAAAGATGTATATGGGACTACCCTATATCTCTCACAGACCATGAGAGAAACAAATTTACCAAATATATGAATTAGTAGGCGGTTTCCCGGCAAATTTTTTATCATCATGTATTAGTCAAAACATATTCTTTCACATGATTGGTAATGAGAGCTTCCATTTCATTTTTTGAAATTGGGGCGTTTCCAATACTGGTCTTTACCTTTAAGGGGCTACAATAATTATTCCACAATACTTGTTTAGGAGTACACTTTTTATTGTTGAAATATCCATTTAGGGTGTGAATTCTTTGAAAAAAAACACGCGAAATCCCCATTTAGGGTGTATTTTGACTACAGAAGAAATCTCGTATATATAGGGGGTGTCTGGAAAACATGTGGTCACGCATGCTTACAGTATTTATACGTGATATTGTCACAAACATTTCATGCTAAAGATCAGCAAAATATGTTCCAACTTAATATGGACAACAATTTAGTATAGATGGTTTCATGGCGGGTGTCATGGCCACCACTGATCTGATCTACTTTGTAAATTTTATCTTGGGAATTCATCTTAGATCTGCCGAGACTAATCGACCACGGCGTCAAAAATACTCACGCAAGATTTACGCAGAACTGTGGGTAATCTCCTTGGTTGTTAAATGACCGAGATTTGCAGGATTTAGAAACCTTATAAATCATACCGAGTTGGGAATGCTGGCACCAAGTTTAATCTCAACACAAGGTCCAAGAAAGACCTATGGCAGTCTCGGACCTACGTCCTGCGTGGGCCTGAAATAGAGAAAAAAAATTCAACAGCTCTCGTAATTCAGACGTTGATTTCTCCCACTTTCCATCGACCCAAGAGCACACAAAACTTATTAAACATGAATAGTCGAAAATCTCTCACATTATTATTCCTAAGATAATTTATTAAGATGATGAATCCATTTCTTGGAGCTATATTTATACCCCACCTCTCCCCTTAAACCCTTATACAGCACCAGTGCCTTGTTTTTCTTTCGGTTAGCAGGGCATCTACTGTGCATTTTGTTTGTCTGTTTCATTTACTTCTTTTTTTGTCGTGGGCGGGGGAAGTTTTTTTCTTCTGTTTGTCTTTTCCTTTTTAACACTGCCGTTCACTTTCTATCATTTTCATCTTGGAAAGTGTAAATGCATCACTAACTTCCAGAAGCAATCAATAACGACTCTTCCTCTTTTTACCTCTTTGCTCATCTTTCTCCTCCAGCCTCCCCCTCTCTCATTCGCTCCTCTACCCCCTACCTATTGTTCTAGGTTATATCTCCACAAATCAGATTTTACTTCTAGCTCACATACTTCCACTATTGTATTGTTGCTCTACATTTAACTTGCTCAGTCTCTCTTTCTCTCTCACACTAATATCCCACCGGGGCGTCCTCCAGTTTATCTTTCTCATACCACTGTCACTTTCTCTAAACTTTGCTTGCTTCTCTTAGTTTCTCATCTCTATTCATCCCCTCTCTCTCTCCCTTTCTCTCTCTCTATCTCTCTCTCTCTCTCTCTCTCTCTCTCTCTTCCTTTTCCTCTCTCTCTCTTTTCCTCTCCCTCTCAATTCTGTCAACTTCTCTACATTTCAGTATAGTTCATCTTTATGTTTCCCAATCTATAAAGGAGGAGTTTGTAACTTCATACAAGAAAATCAGAGAAAGTTGTCTTTTTGTTTGACTGTAAAGTGCAACAGCTAATTCTTTTTTGTGTATTTATTATTTTATTTATATTCATAATGCATTTGAAGATACATATACAAAATATAAGACAAAAATAATTAATTTGTGTAATAGATTGAAACATCTGCAGATAACATAATGTCATTGTTATATTGTATAATATGCAATATGCTACATGCACAAAATATGTGTGATCGCAACATAAGCACACACACTGTATGCTTAAAGTATACAAGAAATGAAACATTCTCCAGGACACTGAGGGGAAAAACAAGAAGAAAAAAAAACAAGGAGTAAACTGATTAAAAGGTTGGTGAAAAAATAATAAGTGATGTCTGTTGGAGACCATTGCATGCATTACAAAAAAAAATGACATTCAGTCATAAAGGGGGGGGGGGTAATAATAGCATCCAGTGAAACGTTTTCAATAAATAATTTGTCTTGTACTTCAAATCCTAAAATAGGCTTTATTAAAGAAGACAAAGTTTGAGAAACCTTTGATAACGCCCTAGAGATAATGTCTGACTCTTTGATCATGCAAACAAAAATCAGGTCACATACCAAAACGAACAGCATATTTCAAGGATAGAGGAATGAGGCAATATCTAAATCACTGGCAAATGTTCAAAACGTTGAACTCATTTTTGATATAAAGGTCACAAGGCCAATTTGGGAAATACTTCAAGAGAAAATTTCATCCACACATCAAATAAGCATAACCATTTGATGTCATTTCATAGTACTGAAGCAAATTTGATGCAAATCTATTTAAGAGGATGATTATAATAAAAAAAATTATGCACAAAGAAAGAATCTGAGATTTAAACATAAAGAAGACTGAACATCATGAACTAAAATAAATATTTAAACAAGTTCATCTCTGCCTCATTCCCATGGCATAAATCATACAGTATTGTCTTCCATCGACGGGATTAACTTTGTGTAAAAGTAAACGAGTAATCACCCTTCTTACTTCAAACAGACAACATCAAGAAATCTAGGAAAGATTTTACAGGCTTCAACTGATAATTCATTGGAATAATGTTAAGATTGTCACAAAAACTTATTATTTGATAAGAAATACTGGTCTCGAGAACAAAAATTGATTAAATTTGTTAGAGAGTGCATTTAAAATTCCCTTTTCACATTCAAAGATTTTGAATACTCTAGCAAAACCCATACAAGTTGCAAATCAAGTGCACGTTAATATTCAAAGTAAAGAAAAGACAAATTTACAAGCAGAAACCTGTCGAGTCACTTCCTCAGTTCTTCTATACAAATACTGTTTGGTAAGTTTAACTTGCTTAAAACTAAAAACATGTACAGTATTTCTGACCCTTCAGAAAATGCTTGACAAAGTCAAACACCCCCCCCCCCCAACTAAGACATAAAATGGAGAATTATTTTTTATAAACAGCATAAAATACCAAGCAAAATATGCAATGACAGAATAAATAGATTTCTATATTTGATATTCCAAATATGAATAGAAACTTGGAAGAAATAAAATGAAATATTCTAAATCTTTACTTTTGGAGGAGAAAAAAAAATTCAGCCACTTTCATATATTTCATTGTCCTAGGAAAGAAAAAAAAAGACATAACATTTCTAACACATCACACATCCACAAAAATGTATGCATGCCTAATACAAAATAGCAGACTCGTGAAGCATGTTTGCATAGTGTATATCATGAAAGTATGAAATAGCTTTATATGTATATATCTCTATGTACAAGGCATTTCTGGCTCATGAATATATCTAAAGGCTATGGTCAAGCTGCTATTTTCCTCTGTGTCGGTGTAGAGAGAGAGAGAGAGAGAGATAAAGGAGAGTTATGTTTCTATCTGTGTGCTGTAACTAGTTACACTGTTTGAACACTATATCCCATTTGTGTACTTGTTAAAAGTACATGTACATACAACAGAACTTTGTTCAGTCCCATCTATACATTCCTACGTATTCCTATGCATTAGACCACAGAGGGTTGGTGATAGGGAAGCTAACATCACATGTAGATGTAATTGTGCCATTCACCTGGGGTCAGTTTCAGGGTCTCTGCACCTTATAAGTAGTACCGGTAAGTGAAATAATGAACAAAGTTTAGAGCACCCCCTGCAATTGGTAACAGATCTAGATTGCGAACTTTAAGGGGGCAGGGAAACATGATACACCAGTGAAAAGGCCCAAAATGATCTTGAAAAAGATTCCAAATTTAATAAAGAAAAAAGAAAACAGTCTAAGGTTACAGTGAAAAAAGTAGACCAAAATGGCTTGCAAAATCCCTCTACCACAGAGTAGATCGTCTGTTTGGACCCAGAAGTGTGTTAAGTCTGCAGTAAAGTACATGATATAACACCCTTCTCGATCCAAACAGATGAGATATTTATGACCAAATCATTTATAACCTTACAAAATCTGGAGTTTCATGCCTCCTTAGTCTCCAATTCACATACCGGTAGTCAGATTGGTCGTCAAAAATGAAAGAAACCCTAAATAACTCCTATAACCCTAGTACAAATAGAGCAAGATCTCATTACATTATCATATCTAACTTCTAGAGGATGTTGGTGAAAGGGGTGTGCTTTAAGTATACTAGCTATTTCTATCGGAAATTTCATGGCTATTCTTTACAAAAACTTGGCAACAAGTCCTATATTGTGTCTTACACCTTATAAGGATAGAAAACTACTCCACTTAAACAAAAATATCTATTTCTAGAACAAAAATTTCCCTGATTTTTCAATTTTAATGGCATCACATTTGCCATCAAGTCATATGTCTTATTAGTGGGCTAAATAAATACATAATATAGTCATAATTTCAAAGAATTGTTACATAATATATCATTATATGAATCACATAATTGATTTGACATGTAGCGTACACAAAGAGGATGATGTAACACAAGGACAATGATTTATTGGAAGGCTCTGAACAGTATCATCTGTTTGGAACCAGAAGGGTGTTAACTCTGTGTTAAACTATATGAGTTAACGTCTTTCTGGCTTTAAACGGACAATATCATGTACTGAAAAACACTAGGGTGTAAGTCGTTGAATGCAAGGATGGTAAAGAAAACAGAGAGACAGACAGACAGAGATAGAGAAGCAGAAAGATAGCAAGATAGAGAGAGAGAGAGAGAGAAAGAGAGAAAGAGAGAGAGAGAAAGAGAGAGAGAGAGAGAGAAAGAGAGAGAAAAAGAGAGAAAGAGAGAAAGAGAGAGAGAGAGAAAGAGAGAAAGAGAGAAAGAGAGAGAAAGATAGCGAGATAGAGCGAGAGAGAGAGAGAGAGGGAAAGAGAGAGAAAGAGAGAGAAAGAGAGAGAGAGAAAGAGAGAAAGAGAGAGAGAGAAAGATAGCGAGATAGAGCGAGAGAGAGAGAGAGAGAGAGAGAGAGAGAGGAGGCATGACATAGATCCTGCCTCCAGTCAAAGTTTTGAGATTACTTCCAAAATCGGTGACAATTTAAAAAAAATGCGTACATACATCACAATCAATACTCGAAAAATAAAGACATTATATGTCTTTGATTGGAGTAAATAACAATGGCAGTGACTTTGCAAGCATATATACGGGTATCAAATCATTGTACAAATGAATACTTCTTAACGGATTACACAGGGTGGTAACATACACAATATAATTAAATAACACAAATATAACGATTGTCATGCTGCCAGCACAAAGCCTGACATTTGAGAGAAATATATCCTTTCTTTTTACCATAGTCAACGATGTTCCCCGGATATTTATTTGAATTGTCATGTGTAAAAGGTGTGGAAAGGACTTCATCTTTGATTTCTGTTGATGAGTATGCTAAATTCCTGAATGTCCGCAAATAAACAACGATCAAGCATGTTTTAGAAAACGAATTCGGAGAGAAAAATCAAGATTCTTGAATTTGTCTTTTCAGCCAACTTATAAAACAAATTACGAGAAATATAATTTTGTACTTTTTCTCCCAATCTGGAATATCTTTGTTCTTCATAATATTTCTCTCTTTTTTTCATATCAAATATTTTTCTGCAAAAAGTTTATAAGTACATGTATGCATTGTATACGAATAATACAAATTAAATAAAAGATAGCTATACAGTGAAAAATTTCCTTTTTACACAGAAAAGATGATCTTTTCGATCAGATAAAATAAATACTGTTTAAACATTTCAGTAGTGCTACAAACAAAAAGGCAACACTTGTATCATATGACAACAACAACAAATAATCCAATAATAATGCTTGAGTGGTGATCCCTTCTCAGGATAGTATCACCTCTGAATGACATGACATGTGCAAAGTATCGAGAGAATAGTCAAGAAGAGAAAGGAGCCCACCAGTCTCTCAGCTGCACAGTTTTCTTGCGGGCTGACAGGCTCTTGATTTAAGTTGGAGTCCGGCGTTTGTGCCTTCTCGCTCGGTAATACTATATGGGGGAAAAAAGAAAAAAAAGAAAAAGATTACTATAGCATTTTATACACCATCAAATTATGATCACTATTGCTACAATGATACCCCTTTGGGTAGCCTTTTAAGAAACTGACATAAGAATAACTTTGCCAACATCCAATTGAAACATACATATTAAAATGAACACACTTCAATGGGATGTCAATCATTATGTGAAATGATACCCAGCAGTGTTAAGCAGTCACACACAAAAAGAGGAGAAAAAATGAGGCATGAACAAGCTATCTTCACAGAAAAAGCACAATCTAAATTGTCTTATTAATATAAACTTCTTCTATCAAAGGTGTAATTCTGTCCGTGAACATACAAAACAACAGAAACGAACCATAACGCTACAATATGATATAAATAAAGCCTGAAACAATCAAGGAATGCGGTACTTGATCAATTGGTATATAGGGTAATACACTATCCATTATTTGCAGGCATTACATAAATGATCTATTAAAAGGAATGAATCTTACCTGGATTGACTTGAATTTTAATGTCTGGCGTCTGGATATCGACGGCCACGTTAGCGCCTCCCCCAATACTGGACAGCGCCTGGAGTTTGACGACGTATCTCGCACCCGCCGTCAGGTTTCTGATCACATACCATCTTCGAGTCTGAATGGAAGAAATAAAGGGCATAGATTAGGAATGAGTTCTAAGGCACATCTAATATTTATTAAGTGTGACAGTTTCAATGGCTATGGTTTAGATACCTTCCTCAGACATGTGATGGCAAACTGAAGTTAGCTGCTTGTTTTGTGATCATCAGAAGAAGTAGTTTCGGCAAATATTGTTACGTTTTATGATCACAACTGAAGAATGCACAGAACTACCGGTATTGCAAGAGATGAAGGATGATGGATAGGCAAAGAAGAAGGTTTGATATACAGTTAATGCTACAATGACAGCATCAATACAAATCATGCTTTTCAAAACAATCCTCTTTATTATTAACAAAAATGCTTTAAGCCGTATTAAGACACAGGTTTTAAACTGTTAATGCATTTCAGCACCGTTCAGATCAGATGTGTATTGAACAGTCTGTTGTAATAGAAAGGTGGAAAGGTATCGTGCCTAAGGTGCTCAGTTTGTTAATGTTTCCTTTTGATGGCATTTACGGACAGGTGCGACGTAGCATTGAGGGAGGAGAGATGAAGGAGCTACCTACCTCTCTGAGAAGCGTGGAAGTGAACTCCTCTCTCTCGATGGTGGGCAGCGCGGCTTCGGGAAGGCCGGACGATGGCTTGACCTGAGCCCAGTAGATCCTGTAGCCACTTAGAGGGTACTGGGACCTTGTCGGAGGGGCCCATGTGAAGTTGGCGCTGACCGTCTCCCCGATGACGTAGGAGTAGCTCATGTTGATAGGGGCGCTAGGGATGTCAGGAACTGCAGAGGAGAGAGAGAGGGGAAAGAAGAGGAATAAGTTAATGAATGAATATCAGTCAATAGTTTTTTCTCATTGAAATCAACAATAATTTGATTACGAAACAATTGCATATCATGTAACATTTCACATTCGCATTCACATACTTATCTCTCTCTTTCTTTAAAAAAAAAAAGAAGAATAAAAAATTACCTTGTATTGTTATGATACTACTACTACCAGTACAAGCTATTAATTCTTTATGAATCAATTACAGTGTCACAATTTGGATGCATAATGGTTAAAAATCTGTCAAAAATATTACAAAAATAATAGGATGAGTATTTTAAAGATAACTACAGCTTTGTTTCCTCATAGATGCGAGACAATGTTGACACAGTGGACTTTAGGCCTTGCGGCCTTGCTTAATCATGCTTGCTAGTCTGTGTCAAAATATTTCAGTTGCCATGGTAACTGGTTGGTAAGAGAGCTCCATACTGTGTTATCTGTGTTATTTCTAACCTGTTGGAGACCCCTTCCACAACATTCCCACTATATACAAAACTTTGTTCTCTTTAACCCTTTCAAGATGATCTGGTTTCTTTCAGTATGTATTTCCCTGAGTTTCATCCTAGGTTATCTTGGGCTTAGTTTTCCAGTCCATTTACTTCTTTGTATTTCTATGAGGTGCCCCTTTCTTTGGTTCTCCGAAAAAGAGGCCCAGGAAAAGCCTGGTCTCCAAGGCACTTGTAGGGATTACCTACGGTAACCCCTTTTCTCTTTCTGTAACACCCCATAGCAGTTCAGGGTCTTCAAAAAGTCTACATAAATCAGCATTTCCTTCTAAAATTGGCAACAATAAATTGTATTTTCAACTCTTTCATAGTTTGAAAAAAAGTTAAATAAATAAAACAGCATTTTTTAATGAAAAATAAACGCAAAATTAAAAAAACAGTACATGAAAACAGTAATTATAAATTTCACCTTGCTCCGCAAATTTAGATACTTAAATGATTAAAACTGACAGTTGCTAACTTAACATGGGCTAAACACAGGACAATAGCAGGATCAGGGGCTCCAAGTAAAGGACAAATAAGAAGATTATTCCAGAAAGAGGATAGATGGTATTAAGACCAACGCAAGACCATTTCTTCTAGTTCTATCATAGATCTGGATAGCCACCGCAGCATGGCACTGTGCGGTACATGTACACGTATGGTGTGCTTGTAAGGCATAGTACATGTAGATATCACATGTCCATCATCAAACCGTTTCCTCACCCACCCACCCACGGTAGTTCATCATTATCTGAAGCTTTGCCTTCTCAAATTGGCACAATTCATTCTTATCTGTAGTTCATACTTGTATGGTTTAATTGGTATTGAATAAACAAGTGTGGATGAAAATGATGAAATGAATATTGGATTGCTAATTGCTAATTTTTTGGGGTATCAGCAATACTTTTCATGATGGCGAAATTGAATTATAAATAAATTTTTCAGGTTTTCTCACTGGTAATTCTTTTAAAGGATTACTGTGTGCAACCCTGAAAACTTCACCTAAATTTCAATTGCTAAGTTGTGAGAAAAATAGTGATTATGACTTCTACTTTCCATTGCCATTAGAGAGTTTACTGCTCATTTGCAATGAAACCATTCTTCATTGATAGCACAATGTACAGCAATGGAATTGGACAGAATTTCACTTTCTGCTGATGTATCATGCCTAGTTTGGATCCAAAGATAATGCTGAAACATCACTAGAAGGCAACACTCTACTGCTACGGGCTAATTTCAAAGGGGTAGCATCATCATCTCATGTTGCCATGGATACACACACCACCATGTGGCATCTCCAGGGGGTGTTTCATAAAACTTGTCATCAGTGACAAATGACAGTTGTTGTTATAAGCTACTGAAATCCTTGCTTCTGATTGGTTATCAGCAGATTTGTCACTGATATTTGTCATTTGTCATTGAAAAAAGGCTTTGTGAAATGCCCCCCCCCCCCCCAGATCTGTAACATGTAACCAGGCTCGCAGGTGTCAGAAGCAAGAGGATGAAAAGCTTGTTAAATCCATCCCAAATCCTTTGTGAGATATTTTAAGCAAGGACATCTGAAGTGGGTCAATCTTCCAGGAAGGTTGTCTCGTTTAAAGGGATCTGGTAACCTTGTCTTAGATTCTTTTAAAAAATCCTTGATTTAGCTCATGCTGCAATGATAACTATAAACCTTTAGGTCAGTCAGGAACTCCATGACTTTTACAAGCCGATCGCCTGTCTAATTATCAAGATATTCATGATTGAAAATCGAAATCAAATTTTGCGTTTGCCAAACGGTTTTCATAACACTACAGTCTATTGGGGAAAACGAGTATGGTAAAACCGGTCACTCAAAAGTTTTTACTTTTTTGAGGCACCTCTTGATCATTTTGAAGCGCAATTTTTTTAGGGCTTCAATATAACACCGTATCACAGAGACTGATAACACGTAGGGCTGTGCATCTCATACCTAACATTGTTAAACGATCTCTTTAATACTTGTCCCGATGGGCAGGCTAACAGAATGAACCGACGTGTAGGCTTTGAGAGGGTGTGATTTCACGACCCTCCAGTAGCTGCATCTATGCAGCATCTAGCATGATTAGGACATCTCTATAAATAAGTTTTTTACATATGAACATTGATTTATTTATTCATTCATTTATTTTTTGGGGAAGAATAAGAAAATAATTTAAAAAAAGGAAGAATTGAATACCGGTAAAAACAATTACAAAAAAGAAAGGACAAACAAAACGGAGACAAGGAATTGTGTGCATATTAACCAGTAGACTCCACTTCCATCCACCCCCCCTCCCCCCCCCCCCCCCCCCCCCCCCCCCCACTTCTCCAGGCGACAAGCATTATACAGTAAATTTCTCAGGAAGATCGCAGACCATTGGAATGCATGTTCATGATGACAAATTCCTGTGGTTATCCCAACCTCATGATTCTGCTTCAGGTACACGACTCCATGAACAGACTACACAAGCACTTGACAATTTAGGGGGTTGTTAATTGTTAGGTAAATTGTAACACTTCACAGGTATGTGGTTGGAAGGAGAGACAGGGAGAGGGTGAAAGAGAGAGGGTGAAATAGAGAGGAAAAAAAGAGAGAGGGGGAGAGAGGGGAGAGAAAAAGAGAGAAAGAAAGAGAAAAAGAAAAGAGAGAGAAAGAGAGAGAAAAAAGAAAGAAAGAGAGAGAGAGAGAGAGAGAGAGAGGGGGGGGGGGGAGGGGGGGGGGGGGGGGGGGGGGGGGAGAGGAGGTATTGGAGCTGTTGAAAGGAGAAGACAGAAGAATAGAGGGTACTAATCCTCCCGATCGATGATTATCTTTCCTTTCTACTGAACACTCACTCACCTTGAGAAAGACTGTTAGAGCAGAAGGTGAGAGGGAGGATGAGAGAAAGAGGGAAAGAAAGAGGGAAAGAAAAAAGGAGGGAAAGAAAAAAGGAAAGAAAAACGAAGAAAGAGAGAGAGAGAGAGAGAGAGAGGAGAGATAAGAGAGAAAGGCAGAGATTGGTACAATGAAAGTGAGGAAAGAACTCAGAGATGAACAGAGGAAAGGAGAATGTTGGTTGGAGATCGAGAGGGAAAGAGAGAGAAGAGAGGTGGAGGGGGGGGGGGGGGGGGGGGGAGGGTGAGAGAAAGGACTTGGAGAGCTTAAAAGGGCCTAATCCATGTCTCTATTCTAAAGCAAAAGAGGTTAAATCTGGACTAATCCCCTACTTAATACCCCTACTCATGGAAATCACTGCCTTTTGTCCAAAGCAAGAGGATATTGGCCCGAGGGTCCATCATCGACATCCAATTGATAACATTTGAGAATTTAAAGCCACAAACCTCGGCTAATAATCGTCCACTTTTCTCCCCCTCCCTGCCAAGAAATTTCAACGACCTACACATATGTACTCCTCAACGTAAGAATTCCTGATCACCTTTTTTTCTCGACACTACAGATTCAGTGTGATCCTTTTTGAGCCTTCTCTAAATACTAATTACCCTTTTACATTATTTCAGCAAATTCAGACTGGAAAAAAATATAATAATAACCTGAATACCATCCATTTCAGGTAAGATTATCCCTTCCCTTTCTAATGGAGTTTCTTGAAGATTTTCTCCTTCTCCCTTTTAAAGTCTTGTGGAATAAATGTGATTGAGTAGGGATATTAGCAAGGAGATAATGTCTTACTGCTGCCAAGAAGGTCATCGAGAATTTAGATGGTTTCGTCTACCATGGTTCCTTTGTTAACATATTCAGACTACATGTAGGTCATGGACTTAATCCTTTAAAGGAACCTTAAAGGAAATAGCCAGCACTGGGCGATAAATTTGTATTTTTTAACAAAATGTTGAGGAAGCAGAGAAATATCTGATCTTGTAGTAAATTGGACTCCTTGTGTAACAAACAGTTGGTCGAACAAGTAAAGTTACATCAAACTTAAAAAACAAACTTTTGTGAGTCTGGGCACTTCAAGCAAATTGGCCCAGTTGAGATTCTTGCACCTTTTTTTTCAAGAAAAAAGTATGTCACGACAATTATCATGGGTCAGTTTCTCAAAATCGTTGTGTGTCTACGTTCGTGGACATTAAAACACATGTTAATTCTATATCAAGTGCTTCTTTGGGATGATCATGAAATTAGATGTAGAATGGTTTCATGAAACTGGCCCAAGGATTCTCAGTATTTCCTTAAAACATTATTCCTTCATTGTCCCTGGTGGAGTTTTAATATTCCAGGATAATAATTTTCCCCTAATTTTTGTGATTTTTCTCAAATTTCATAACAAAGAAGTGAACTTTTAATTTCACATATCCCTTATTTCCATGAGAGCTCGGTGCCCTTGGCAATTGAAGGTTACTCAAATATCTTGTAGGCTTACTTGGTGTGGGACATGTCGGCCTTGGCCCTCTATAGACCACTTCTGTACAGGGAGGAGTGAGGATCTGAATGGTGGCATCGAATGGTCCCCAGCCGTGATCGTAGACTGGCCTGACCCAGACCTCGTAAGTGCAATCGAAGGAGAGACCATAGAGCTCGAAAGATGTTTCCTGTAAAAGAGAAAGTGAGGTTGGATGCATCAGTGAAATGGTTACAGTGAGTGGTGTGTGATTGAGTGTTGGAAAACTAAACAAGCTCTAAACTGTGCTTAATAACAGTGAGATGAAATATTGATTAATACATAGCAAATGCAAAAGATCCCTCCCAAAAAGAACCCCAAAAAAGAATCATTTTAAAGAATTGGATACATGTTGGTGGAGGAGCCTTTCTTCTCAGAAGAAAATAAAATGGACATCTACAACACAATCACTAGACAGTAAACACATCTTTAAAAGATGCATTTGGGTGTACAAGGACTGACTGGCTCATAAAACATGACAGGTTTTCAAAACAAATTAAGTCCACTCCTTCCAATTTTGGGATAGAATTTGTCACCAGTGATATTTACACTTACAAATGTTAATACTGTAGGGATAAATGCTATATCAGAACACAGGATAGACAGGAAAAATAGTTAACCATAAAATAAAATAATTCAAATGTTTCACATAATGCGGAAGCACATGGCTGTTGAAACAGCCATTTTATATCCCACATATTCACATAGAGAACATTATGAAATATTGAAAAACTGTAGTGTTTCCCCAAAATAAATATCAACTGTCATGCTATTACATGTTCTCTCTCTCTCTTCCATATAAGTCTTGGCATGCATCTGATTTATACTTTCTGCACCTCAAGAGTAATACCTTAGAACACACAAACAAGACTCACACCAGACCAAAAATATTACATAATGCCTGTTTTCATCAGCTCGGGATTGTCAAATATCCTGCTATTTCAACTATCCTGATCGCAAATTATCCAGTAATTTGCGTCTTCGTCAGCCCGAAGTTGCAAGTACCGGAAGCGGGATATTCGGTTGAAATAATCATCCCAAGATATCTTGGGCTAGTTTGCAAAATATCCCGCTATTTGTCCGGTGCGTCCTCATTAGCCCGAAGACTCGCACTAAGTGCAAACGCTGAGCAAAATATCTTGAGCTATTTTCTCGAGCTTGAGTTTTAAGTTTCGAGGTCGAGTCTCGAGCTGATGAAGACGTGATTTATAACTTCAGGATTATTTCCAAAATCAGAAACAACAGCAGGCTATTTGGTAATTAATCTCGAGCTGATGAAGACACACCTATAATGTCCAAATCATCAGTCAGTGTGGAGTCGGTTGGAAGTTTGACAAGTGCATCACTCATTAAATCAAACTTGATAGTAAATTCATTTATTCCATGTACTTCTGAAAAAACATTCTTCCATGACATAATGATTGAGCTTCTAGTACTGTGACCTGGTTTTCACCATAGGAAAAAATCATATTGTGAAAGGTGTACACTGCAGAAAAAGTTACGAGTGATGTTCTAAATGGTGTTTGTGTACAATGTGAACAAACCATATCAGGCACTGCAATATAAATGTGAATGCTCAAGCCTAATTCACACATATAACAGTAAAACCACAAGAAAAGATTAAACAAATACAAGAAAATAAAATGTAAGATATAAGTATGCAAAACAAATTATAAGAAAAACTTTGGGCATGAGCTTTTTAATGTCTTAATTTCTTCCTCATTTCTAAGTTATCATCCCTTCATTGATCAAACTAAATCATAATATGATTTTTTTTTTGTAATACAAAAAGAAAATAAGAAAAGAAAATTATTATTTTTCCATTTTTTTACAAGTTAATCAAGTAAATATAAAGTCATGTATGATATTTGTTTTGGTCTCATTTTCCATGTAGAATATTCATGCACATGCAATATTTCATGGTCTCGATAAAAAGCAAAAAGTCTATGGTTAAACAAATATGCAGGTCCATATTAGAGTTGTAAATAATATGAATATGACCTTAACATCATTATTTATGATAGGATATGAATGGATATCATGCATTCAATAAGGATGGGTAATAACATTTCCAGCAGATGTTTCAAGTTTTTCAAAACAAATATTGATATGATAGTTTCATACCAAAGTGACTGTTTCAATGACATATTCTCAAAATTTCCTTCATTTCTATTACTGGTTGGAAAAGAAAATTACAGGGCATAAAGCATTACCAATATCTAGGACAATCCATGTAGGAAACAAACAGAATTATAATTATATTCTTTTATTGGATTTCTATTGTTTTCATGTTTGAATGTATATTCCATATTGCTTCCATAAGCTCCCTTTAATATGACTCCCTTATAAAAGGGGAAAAAATAGGAAAAGTCAATTTTTATTCTGATTTAACAATTCAGTTAAAAAAAGAAATGAGAATAGGGAAATTTTGAAAAAGATTACATTTGGAATCAGCTTAGGGGGTAATCTGTATGAGGTCTTAAGCGCCTTAACCAAATCTTATATCCTTGTGATTGGTAGTGTCTCTTTCTTGAAAACTTCCTAAATCTTCAAACTTTTCCTTCTGTGTCTGTGTCTATGACTATCTCTCTTTTTCTTTTTCAACCTCTCTGCATTTCTTCCCATCTCTCTCTCTCTCTCTCTTTCTATCTACCATATCTAAATATCTCTTTCTCTCTCTTGCTCTCTCTCCCTCCGCTCTCTTTTTCTAATGACTTGAGTACAACTAAGTTAGGATGGGCCTTAACTATCAAAGAAAACATGCAACTGCATACGAGAAACATAATACACAAGGAAGGTTGCTGCATGCTTCATAGTATACTATGCACTTAAATACTAATGGAATGCCATTGCAAGAACCTGGCTAATACACAATGCAATACACATGCTGCACATCATGCATGTACAACACACATGCTGTAAATGATGGTAAAAATAAATTTTAGGTTAGTATTGGCATGCTAAATTGGCTACTACATTTCATCCAATGAACATGACATTGTATAGAAAATGTAAGATATTAGCTTAATGCATGTATGAATAAGAAAGATAAGATAAATAAGAGGCATCTCCTCGTCTAAATAGAACTCACATGGCCCCAGAAAAAAAGAAATATTTGCTTTATCAGATTAGCATTGAATCCAAAGAGCTAGAAAAGCTCAGAAGAATTGATATCATTTTCAAATCTCTTCCAATTTCCGATCATTTACTCTGTATGCCAATACATAAACATGTCATCATCCATTCAGAGTTTCAGAACTATTCAGTGTTTTATGAGTTTTATTCTAAAGGAGTTTCAAGAAGCCTTTTCTGCCAAAAGGCTATCAATTTTGATTAATGCCTAGATACACGAGTCAGACTATCTATTCCATCATATTCACATCGTTTATAGTTCATTGCCACAGGCATTTTGCCAAAGAAAATCTACAAAAGGTTGCATGGTCTAATGGGTGCAAGTACACCCTTCTGGCTACCATCAATGGCACTGTCATTATCAAAAATTAAAGGCAGCCTAACTAAAGAAATTAATCGATTATAAAATGCAAGCATATATCCTAGGCATCTCCTTTAGTTAGGTAGTTCAGCTTGTTTGAAATAGCAGATGGAAATTCATTATTGTAATCACTTTTCACTATCAGTATATTTTTGGCTGCATTTGAACACTAACTGACTGAAATTAACATCTTGTCTGTTTGGAGATAGACCCTTCTGGCTCTCAACAGACAATTACATCTTTGTGATCTTTGAATCATACTAAGTATTCAAAGAAAGTTGAGTTCTATATCTATCCTCCGATACCAGCATTTTCTTTTTGTTTAATTATAATTCTCTGATTGAAATGTTTGGTAACGTAACATGAAATGAGTATAACCTTTACATTTTTTAAGTTGAAATATTCATTTCACCTATTATCATTAACCCCCCCCCCCCCCCTAGTCTAATGGACACTGTCTATTGAGCACCAGAAGGGTACCAATTGTGAGTTGAATGATATAACATCTTCCTGGCTCTAAGTAGATGAAACAGAGGGCATTTATAAATTAAAAAAAAGGGATTTTAAATTGATAAAAAGAAAACTAGATCTTTGTCGTCATTTCAGCCAAATGACATCCTCATGGGAATACCGAATAGAATTAAATTGCTTCTATCGAGTTAGTCTGCTTGTTCAGACCCAACCACACTTGCATCAATGTCAGTATGACATATCTTCAAAAGAAAGATACTTCCGGACATGGTGAGAAAGTTTTTGTTAAGTTAGCATGGAAGCTAGGCTACCTAGAGAAACAATACAATAGTAAAGATAGCATCATCTCTTTCATGAGACTATTAAAATAACTTCATTTTGAGAAGAAGAAAAAAATTGGGCCAGCCATAATTCAAAGTCTCTTCTTTCAAGTCTATCTGTGAGCATATATCCATTGAATATTGGCAGATTTGAAAAAGCGCTCCCATAGAAGGGGATTAGGGGCTTAATATAGCTGGATTAGGCCGACTCAATGGGCTTCTTCTGGGAGCACAGACCGGGCCACGGCGTCCCCTCAGGGCTTGGAGAAGAGGGATCGGAATCTATTCATCCCGATTCACGCAGCCGAACATTAATGGAGTAATGGCGGGGACTTAGACACAATTTTCTTTGACACGGATCAGATGGGGCTCAAGGTCGTATAGCGTGTCACGAAACCCAGCCCTTACCATTTCCCCCATTATGTTCTCACCTCCCATTCTTGTCTCCATTTTTTTAATGGGTGGGGGCTGAGCAAACACAGCTTGACAGGACCAATAATGAAATGTTAAGCACCGTGGAATATGCTTCATGGATTCATATTTCAATCATTCTTCTTCTTCAAGAACCATTATACTGTGACATCATGAATAACCAATCGATTCTATGGCTATTTTAAGAGATCTAGCTTTCATTTTCCCACAATATATCACGCCATGCTTTCATCAGGAATCCATCCACTATCATCACCCTTTATTTCTATTTTATTATTTTTCTCCTTACCGGTAATTGCACAGCAAAAAGTTGGAATTTCTCAAGACAAAATTAGGAATACAGTCTATTTTGTACACTTTTTCACAGAAGGTTTTGGAAATAGAGAGGAATCTTGGGGCCATAATATTAGTTTGATGGTAAGAAAACTAGGAATCTTTCTTCCAGAATAGAAATGGTTGCCAGCTATGATTATCCTTACCCTATCTCTATGGTTACATAAAGCCTGGATCAAATTCGGGTCGTCCTCACCCCCCCCCCCCCCCCAATCCCTTAGATCTGGATCATGCATCCTGTGTACATTATACAATGAAAGGTGTTGACTTTCAGAAGCAGTTATTGGAGTCTTCTGGTGCGGTAGTTTCATAACAGAGGATCTTGTAACAAAACCAAGCTTTACACCAAATCTTCAATGTTTCTGATGCCCCAACTAACATGCTACTTGTCAGCAAAATATTGTTGGTTGACATGATGGTCTCCCGCTGACAACTTCATCTACTATTTTTGAAATCTTTATCTTTTAAAATCTTTTTAATTTCATCTACTTCTGTTCAAATGGAAAAATAATAGGGGAGATTAAATACCATGTCACACTAACCTGGTTGCATCTTGAATCATATTTTACAAAGATTGTTATAAAAAGATAAAAACAGGCAATGTTTATTTTATGTCAGGTTTGCATATAGCCAATCATAATCAATAATTTCAGTAATTTAAAAACATTTAAACCTGCATAAAAATACCAGTCAAGGGAGACAAGACAAGAGGACTTTAAAGGCAGGCGAACTTTAAGTACAGGTTCCTTCGTTACTATGAGAATGCAATGAGAAAAAGGGGTCCTTATATACGGGTGGCAGTTCTATAAGGCACTTGCTCAGTCAGGTTTCCCTCTACTATCATCTGAACTTATCAGTAAGGAGTATTATGAAACACAGCCCTAATCTGTATTTGAATTTGAGACTCCTGTTTGACTCTGAGCAGGATGGATAACCGGTCATCAGTAAAACATCAAAGAAAGATGTTTTCCATTCTCCAGACAATAACATATACACTGCATTATCAACATGATCTAGATATTTTGTGATGAGCAAAATTAGAAACTGCTCAGGGACAAGAGAAATGAAATAGATATGAAACATATTGGTTTACAAAACATTAAAAAACAAATTGGTTAGTCCTTGGCTTTGCCATTCAAAATGCAGTCATACTTGAAAATGCAATGCAAAAATGAAAGTGCCTGGTAAAACTGAAAATAATTGCCATGCAAGATGCATAGATGAGAGATAACAAGTCTATTTTCGGTATGAAATAAAAACCTGCCATTTAGAGAAAAATCTGGTGTTTTCCCACCCTCCTAAGATTTTGGTTGAACAATATTCCAAAGATTTGAAGAAACAAAAAAATCAAAGACAATTTCAATTGCTTTGTGCATCTACTGCAATGTGTGACATAAAAAAACAATCACTGTTGGCAAGGATAATATGATACAGAAAATGCCCTTGAATTGATTAATCTAAAGTCTTTAGGATCGATCGTGTTGACTGTTATAGAAGTCATGGCATAGCCTTTCCTGTTAACCTAGAGGATGGAAAACAGACTTCTCCTAAAAGACAGCCTAGAGATCTCAAATGACTGTACAGGTTAGAGGTTATTTCACTAAAGGCATTCAAGGCAAGAACAGCACAAGTGATATCAAGACTGAAGAAAATTGAAAATTCAAGGAGTTTCTCTGGACTCTTTACAAAAACATACTCTAACAGATCCTATAATGAAGAGTGCTTGTCACCTCTCTATATGCAACCAAAAAATGATAACTTGCATGCAAGTGTCATTCAAAAATACCTTAAAGGGAACCAAGTGCCAAATAAGTTTTTCGGTCTGTAGTTTTGGGTTTAATGCTGGTAACATTGATTCAAATGTAAGCTTGAGATATAATTGTTTGTATAGGGATAATGCAAAATTTAGAGCTTTCCTTCAAAACATAGATAACAGTGACTTGTAAATGACTAGGTGACACCCTTGTATCAAAAAAAAAATTGACTGAGAGATAACTTCTTTTAACCATCAACACATCTCAAAATACATTTTAGTTTATTGGGGGAGGGGGGGGGGGTTTATGTCTTCCACCAATAAACAAAATATCTTTTTTGATGATTGGCTCCTGTATTTATTACATGAACATAGCAAGTGAATTTTCTGATGGGGCACAAGTGTCCTCAGCAAGATCACAGCACTCAGTGGGTAGGGTGGGTTAAGAGTAGAGAGTGTTATGTTAGGCTGGTGCATGCCACTCCACGGGAGGGGGAGGGGAGGGGGGGGGGGGTGAGGTGAGGTACCGGTAGAAAGGGGTGGGGCACTTGCAGTATGACGTGCAGGATTCCGCAGGCAAAGAAACTATCTGCAAGGAATGAAGATGGGGGAGGGGGGAGGAGACTTACGTGTGTGGTCGCTGCTTTCTGACGATAGGGCGTATAAATGTCATTGCTTAAAAAGCCCTTTTTTCCCGAAGCGGATAGAGAAATGATTCGAAGGAACAAAGAGAGTATAAGAATCAAGCAGGGTAAAAATTCAACTTGAGAAAATGATTCAAGAAAAAAACAAAGAAATTGTTAGAAAGAGATCTATTTTGATCAAGAAACTTGTAAAAGAATGTATTCATTGAATAAAGAAAATTGTTAGGAATAGGACAAAGATGAAAATTGCATATTTAACAGAGAAATATCTACTTTTGATGACAGACTACAATTATAAGAGTTATTTGATATAAGAGATGGAAAATTAATTCAGAAGAAATGCAAAGAAAGGAAGAAATTACAAGTCTTATATTTTGACATAGAGCAGTGATAGAACATTTATATAGAACTTGTATCATATTCTACCCTCCAATAAATCTCGTTAGTTTGATACATTATTCCCTTCTATTCATTTTGTTATGCCTGTAAACATGAATCAAATTTTGAATTTAAAAAAAATACAAAGAACTTTGTTGAAATCAGTATTTATCCTACCTGAAACCTTGTAATAAAACAGTAATGAACGACCACCTACATCAAAGATACACCCATATACCATGAGTAAGTGAAAGGTCAAAGGTCAACTTACAAGGCTGGTTGCCTCTCCTTCCTGCTGCCCCCTCTCTGAAGAACAGACGGTCGCCTCCCAATGAATGGTGAAGCGTTCGATGATCGCTTCAAACCCCTTGGGCTTCTGCCAGCGGAGCCGGACCTTGAGGGTTCCGTTGTCCCAGTAGGGCTGGTCGTGGGTCAGGTCGCCTGGAGGGCCGGGCATCTTGCCTGAAGGGGCGGTCACCTCGGGATGGACGTAGGTCTGTGTTAACTTTCCCCCTGTGCCATCTGGGAGATGAGTAATAATATATAACCATATAAACAATAATAATGAACTGTTTCTTGTATAGCATATATCAAATTATTGATAGATTGATTGATTGGCTAATTGATTGATTGGTTAAAGGATTGTATTGAATGTATCTCACAGACTGCCAATATGATATATTACAATATAACATCCAATGCACTTCCAAAGGGGTGACTCTCAGAATCTAGTCCATTTAAGTTAATATATTTTTGCACAATCTTTCCTTTAGTCCCATTTATTTTCATTTCATGTTGCGTAAAATGCATGTAACTCACTTGCATTTTCTACTGAGAGCACTCCACTACAAACTCCCTAAGTTGAAACAGAATGAGATGAAAAGAGCCACAAGAAAGCTAGCTATAATCTGAGCAATTCACTACAGCAGGTTGAACCCTTCACATAGACTAACACAATGTACAATGATCAATGTGGTTGAGAGGCTCACAGGACAGCAACAGCCAAGGATAGGACCTCAAATTAACACGATGGCTCATTTAGCAAAAATATCTGCAGCACTACAAACCAAAGCAAATTTTGTGTTTTCTTATTTTACTGAGATGACCACTCTTAAAATTGAAACAACAAACTGAAAAAGGTTGCCGTATTCCCAGAAAATGATGATTGGAACAATACAAAAATAGAAGCAACAGACAAAACTATCACCAGTTTCCGCATAACAATCTCAAACAGCATTAAATCCTTAACAGTTTTAATGACCTACCTTTACAACATTGTCTCCAGTAGACACTACAGAAGTGACAAACTGAACAGAGCAGCAAAAGAATTTATTAGTTAGAGTCGTGCAATCTCCTAATTTCACAAATTTCCCGAGAGATGAATTTTTTATCATGATGGAGTCCCTTAAAAAAAAAAGCCCTCCTTAATTGTCTAATCACAGCTTTTAAGTTCATGAACTGTTTGGTCTACTAACAGGTGAGACCAATACAACAAAACTTGGCATAAAGACTTGCCTTGATGACATCATGGCAAAGACCACAAGAAAGAATACTTACCAACTACATTATAGGTAAAAGCTGAAACTACATGTCATGATAAACCCAACCATAGTCTGTTGAGAGAAATTTGCATCACTGGAAGTCATGCTCATTCATATGTCAAAGTCACAGAGCTCCAAGACAGTTTCCTTCTATCGAGATGTTATGTGGGATTCTTTGGGAGGGAACTATATGGAGTTCCTTGAATTCGACCCTTGAGACTACATACATTTAATTCATAGAGCTCTTAAATAGTTCCCTCTGACTAAGATTTCATGAGGAAGAGAACTATTTGGAGTTCCTTGAATCGACCTTTGAACCAAACTTGCATGCTTGTCACAACTATCTCTCTCCATTTGGAGGTAAACTTACCGTTAGATGCGGGTGTTGGTGTAAAGATGTAGGTAGACTCTCTGTCGCTGCTAAGACGATTGTCATGATATCTGGCAATTGCTTTGACCTGGACGTAGTACTTCATACCAGGCAGAAGATCAGGCAAGACACAGGTGGTTTCACTCTGTAGGAGACAGACAAGAATAGTTGGCATTATATTCCACATACTAAGAATCTTCCTCTACGATTGGTCAAAAGTAAATCACGTGATGAAAGATAGTTCGCCCATCATTGCTGGGAGAAGCAAAAAGTTTGTTACACAGTGTAGATAGGCTACTATCTTTCACTGAAGATAGAAGTACTATCATGAAATGTTCAAAATTCAAGGGTACTTCAGATTCGCAAAAGATTCATGCTGCAAAATACTCAAATCACATTTCACAAAACACTTTCCATGAAAGTGGCTGTCCTTCCAATTATCAAAGTTTTATGGTTTACAATATGAAAATATCAGTGCACAGATTAAGATAATAATAATAATAATAATGATAATAATAATAATAATGATAATAATAATATTAATATTAATATATGAGTTTTTTAAGGCACAAATCCATTCGAAAGCAAATGCTCTAGTTGCATTCACGAAGAAAAGAAGAAGAAAAAAAGAAGAGATCACATAAAAGCATCTGTATTATAAACAAAGCAGTAGGAGTAAGATAGAGCATACAAAAAAAAATGAAATAACAATTAATTATATAATGATATCATGTAGATTGTAAATGTAATCATAGAGACTCCAGACTCACCCCAGGTACGTCCAGACGATGCTCCTTGACCGCTATGATGGACGGTGTGACGGCTCTCCTCTCACTGTAGAACACCCTATACCTAGAGATGGGCAAGTCACTGTACCTAGGTGGGCTCCAGTGCAGGTTCATGTGGATCTTCTCATTTATGACCTGTACAGGACCAGTTTCTATGCTGAACGGGGGACTAGGTCTTTCTGGCTCTGCAACAAGAAACAAAGATTCAGATTCGTCTTAATGGAAATGCTCTGGAGACTCGAAGAATTTAAAATGATTTTATATATACATGTTCTGAAAACAAGAAATGAACACATACAGGACCATGGGAAAGATTATTCAAAGTTGCCAGTAGCGAAATGAGCAAATCTGATAATCAGATTTAGGCAGGTCTCAGGAATCGAGGTACAGGTCCTCCTCCTCCAAGCCTTCCTGTCTTCAGCATCTGACCGACCGACCGGCCAGGTGAGACCCGATATCATCTTCTTCTAGCGTCTCCTTCCAGGTTTTCCTGAGGTCTGCTATTGGATTTTGAGCCAGCAACATAGAAATTTACAGCTTTCAATATCAGTCATTATATTTGTTCATTACGCTTGAATCATTCTGGAAGATAAAATTTGGATTAAAGATCATTAAGACAAATATCTAAGTCAAATCAAAGGCTTACCCCTGGACAAGCAGAACTCTGCCGTTGGTCTGAAGTAGCCCAACGTCCCATTCTCATTGACACTGGCTATCCTGAATTCATAGTTGCGACCGACCTGAAGAGGCACACTGATTTCGGTTTCTTCCGTCTGAAAAGCAAGGTATGAAATGTATTTAACCCATTCTGTCTTAAAGGTAGTGTATCCCTTTTGCAGCCAACATCAAATTCTGAAGAAATTTGCATGAATTATTATTGTTATTATGTGCTATACAAATGCAAAGTGATTATTACTTTTGGTGTTGTGTTTGTTTTTGATATTATGATGACGTACCCATTTCAGGAAGGAAATAAATTGTCCATCCTTGGGTGAAATATGGCGCCCAAGGCATGAATGGTAGAAGCTTTAACAGTAGTCATACTCACCACTCCAACGTCGTACCACGAGACCTGACTTCTCGTTTGCGAGAGGTTTTTAGCCTGTACGGCATAGAGCACGAACCCACTGTCGGTCAGGTTGGGCACCGCTCTCCACCTGACCGTTGCTGAGTCACCGTCCTCATTTTCTGTTATAGTAGCCCATCTCCTCTCCACGCGTGAGGGATAATCTACAAGGGAAAGATACAAGCAGTATAATAATCCAATTCTCGCGAGAGTCAAGTGGAATAGAGAATGTGCTAAATAAGAGAAGAATCCTGCACCAATCAGATGACCAGGGTACTTTACTCATGACGTATTCTAAGCACTTTGATCAGTTACCTAAAGGCCATCTGCACTACAGTTTGGCTAGGAGAGATTAGACCACCTAGGGTGGTCACTGACAAGTAGCTATCTCATCAACTCGGCTCTCAATTAACATAAGAAAAAGAGGATCATGGGTGACCAATGGTCACCGATTAGGCATTGTTTTCCATGTAGAGGGAGCAAAAGTAGTACGGTGGGGCTTTAATTGGAAAGGTACTTTAAAAGCATTAATCATTATCTTCATTCTATCTCATGAAGGGGCATCTCCGGTATCAGTACCAGTCTTGTTAAAAAGTGGAAAAGTGGTCTAGAGCAGTACTCTGGCATATAAGCTCAGACGACATTCTCTAGGCTATGTCTCATCCCATCACAGATGTAACGTTGGGAATGGTTAAGGTATGAAGCGGCAAATCCACAGCATTTTCTTTTTTGACGATGAAAAGCGTAAAACGCTTGTCATTTCTGTAACTTTTAATACAGCACTCAGTGGATAAGCCTGGGTTTCTTTTGTGGCAGTTAACTGCTTCATATATGAACAAATACTTTAAAGTTAGGGTTGCAATTGGGTTTAGGGTCAGGTAAAGTCTTTGGTGGCCCAAGGTTGATGTTGGGAATTCCCATTAGTGTAAGAAACTGATGGTATAGTAATTGCCGCAAGAACATTTGCCGTACAACAGTCAAGAGTACCCCGCCCTGATGACCCTTGAACCGAACCCTCCCTGATCTCACCTTTTTTCCTGATGTTTGGAACCTGGCAAGTACGACCGCAGCCGTTATCGCAGCACTTCTTCTCCCCGTTGCAGCCCTGATCGTCTTCGCACTCGTTCACGCAGGCCTCGGCAAAGCCACCGAACGTAGAGGGGCATACACCTATCTTAGCATTTTTAATAAACTTTATAAAATTACATGACGCAACGCAGATATCTGGAGCTGATACAGCTTCCATTTGGGTCTGAGGTTGAAATAAAGAGAAGATAAAGAAGGAAGAAATGAAAATAATTCAAACTGATATATACATTTAAAAATATGTTGGGCAAGAAATTGTACATGTGTATTACTGACATTATCAAAACATTTTAGTAAACCCACAGATTCTTTCGAGTTTACATGTACAGCCAGTTTCTTTCAAACTTGAATTTACTGTTTGTTATTTACTTGCATTAGCTCTAAAACCTTACTCATGCCAAATCTAAACTGAAACATAGCCGTTACACTCTGTCACCACACTTAATTTGAATCAAATCTAGTCCCTGAGTTTCATGCACTTTATGTCCACACTTTTCTTATCTTGTCACAGCATGTTACAAACTTGTCAAATGTCAAAAGATACTTGGGAAATTTGTCTCCTAAATAGAATAATTGATGGTAAGGAAATTAAGGGTAATTTGCAGAAAAAGGGGGAAGAGAGAGAAACAGTGGGTGAGCAATGGGAGCCCATGAGTCAACTTTCAGGGAACGGAGGAAAGGAGTGACGGAAGGGGGAGACGGGCTTAGTGCCTCTAAAACCAAGCTGATGTGTGGAATCTAGTATTCAGATTAAAGGTTTTATCAAGCAATCCGTCCGTTTTATTCATTGTGGAACAATGCTTGACCCCTAAATAAATGACCCTCTAGATTTAGAGTAAAACATTGTGGTTGTGATGACTAGCCAGTATCTCAAAACCATTTTAATAAAAATGTCTTTATAATCCTCTAAAATATTAGACTGAAAAAGTTTCCAATACCCACAAAATCAAAATCTGTACTTCTCTTTCCATCTCCATTTCCATTTTCATTTCAATTAATTTCACTGATTAGAAAACATCAGAAACATACATAAAGAGAATGTACATTATTTGTGCATTAATGTGACAATTTTCATTTAATAATACAAAATTTTATTCTTGAATGTAACTGATTTAACAAAATTAAATAGTAGTACAAGGATTTTTTTCTTCAAAATACAACATCTGGCAAGTAGTAACCCACTGCACTATAAGAAATCCCTTTATGAGCAAGTGAGGGGGGGATTAACTTGACTCAATTTCCTTGTTACTGATAAGAAACAAAGCTTGCCTGGGCTGACAGAAGGGGGTCAATAAACTAGTGCACAAGAAATTATAGGGTAATAGACTTTCCAAGAAATAGACAATGATTTCTTTAATTTGTATTAAATATATAATCATGTCTCAAGACCGAAGGGGTGATAAGAAGGCTTACATCAACGGTTTACATTAAGGGATTGCTAGATCATAAATACACCCAAGGCCAGCGATACCAAGGGGGGGGGGGGGGCATAAATTATGTCATGTTAAGAGCTTATGGATGAAAAGCCACTCGGACTAAAAGAAATAATTGTGACAACACATCATACAAGATCATCAAATAACATTATCCTTGGGCCCCATGACATGAAGCTTAGCAAATTTGATTGAACATTTGATTTTTGCGATTGATAGCATTGATCACTGTATAGAATCATTTGCAAAAATTGATCATACAATCAATTGCGAAGTTACAGGGGCCCTAGTACCCCCCCCCCCACCTGATATGCAAAATGATTTTCGTCAAAATATAACTACATTTACTCACCTGGCACTTTGCTTTGCACGTATCCAACGATTTATGAGACTTTTTGCAAGGATATATACACTGCAAAGAAAGGAAAAAAGACAAAAACAAACAAACAATAATTATGACATTATTCATTTATGGTATGAAATGTCTGATTTCTGTAAAGCTATGTGCATACACACAAGACGCGTATTGAAATAATTATATGTATCCACAGGGAGACAGGAAATTAGAAGGAGAGATGGGCTGAGAGAGGGAGAGAGAGAGAGGGAGAGAGAGGGGGAGAGAGCGAGGGAGTGATAAGGAAGGACAGAGAACAGAGAGGAAGATAAAAGATGGGAGGGAGAGAGATAAAGATACTAATACACAGACAGAGAGAAAATGGGGGAGAAGGGAGATAAAAGGGAGAGAGATAAGAAACTGACAGAGGAATCAGGAGAGGTAAGCAGAGGCAAAGACAAAGGCAGAGACAGAGACGAAGAGATAGAGAGTAAGAGACAGACAGACAGACAAACGGGGAGCGAATCAGACAGCTGGACAGTCAGACAGACAACCAGACAGAGAGACAGTCAGACAGACAGACACACATGATACATGATGACCACAGGGGGAGTCACGCTGACCCAAAAACTCATCTCCCAAAAAATTGTGGTGCATGGGGAATATCTGCCTGTGCGGTAAACTTTAATAAAAAAAGAAAAAAAGAGAGAGAAAAAAAACCTTGTCATTGATGAATGGGTAGCGTGACAAGAGTGAATACCTCACATAGATACGTAATCCAATCGGACAATTCCCGTCCCAAACAGGTGCATACAATCCACACTACATCTATCCAAATAAAAAAAGATAAAAGAATAAAAGAGGGGAAATAATTCGTCGGATGCCTGAAAGAAAGCCATTACTGGCATTGACAATACATAAAATATTGTAGCTCTTACGGCATTCTTGCAACCAGCCGATGAATTGTACTTTTTTTGGCATGAGAAGACAGATACGCGCTTGCTTATCATCGCAGTGAATGTGCTGCTTGTAGAATGATGGGTGGATTTTCATAATTAGTTCAGTCACGATCTCCTACGACAAGCATTCTGATAATTTTTAAATATTGCGATGGTAAAGTGAACAATGCTGATGCTTGCTCACACTGAAGGTTTTGGGTTTTAATCCTGAACATGTAGAGTCTAATCTGCATTAACACATACAGGTATAATCATTTTAACACTTGAATTGACCAAACATGGGAGGGAAAAAATATTTTTAAAATTTAGGTGGCGACTTTTCAAGCTTGCTTTCATGAAAATAACACTCTTTAATTTGTTTCGCGTTGAACTCTATCCAAATTTTTTTTTTTTTTGGGGGGGGGCTCTTTTATGACTTTTGGGGCAAATTTGCCCCGAGCCCCGTGTCTTTTTCCCCCTGAAACATGGTTACTACATTCTGGACTGGAGTCACTGCCCCCCGCCCCCCCCCCCCCACACACACAAAAAAGTGAGCTTTTACACAGTATTCCTGGCTTACACATGTAAGTGAATTTGAGAAAGTAAAGATGGTATCACAATGCCTGTGCTGTAAAGTTAAGTCATGTACATGGACAGGTCACTCATGTGTACTTCTCACCCAAAAATCAAAACGAGCAAACACCAACGGGTTTTAATGGGTTTTTTCAGTAGTGTTAATGGCAGTAAAAAAAAAATCTGCAATTTTTCCAATTGGTGTTTGGGTTGTGTGAAAGGGCCCTAATGTCATTGATTGTGGACTCCTAAGCTTGTTGTCAATTTATTTGTGTTCTGATTCTCTGATTGATGTGTCCGATGCAAAGGTTTTTGATGTCAGTTTCTGCACTTGTTAACTCATCACGGTATAATCCTTCTCTGGCTGTCGATCAGGATCTGTGATGTCATCGATTACATCAGCGGAAAGCATCCATTTAAAACTTGGACCGCAGAAAAGTATAATTAGGTGATGTAATGTTAGGGTAGATTGAGTACTACCTGATTCTGTTATGACTGGATTCTAATCGTGGTTTTATCATGCTTCAATTTATCATATATTCTCTGTTCAACTTCTATGAAAAAGAAGACAAGACTGAAATTCCTAGCTGGAAGCGTTCTTGGTCCTTTCTTTTACTTCAATTTTCATTAATATACATGTACATTGTACATGTTGGCCTAAATGTATGACTCAAGGCATGTCTAAGTTTCTACTTTTAACATTACTTATAATATTGACCAATAGGCCAAAAACTTGCAGCATTTCAGCAATTAAATAAACATATGCCTACAGGTACATATTTGTCACTTTCAAAGGCACCTACCAGCATCTAGTACTTTCTGACAATGCATCTTGACAGCAGAACCAATTATCTTTGATTTATTCCATATGAGACCTACTTTATCTTTCTTATATACATGTACATGTATACCGGGCCTTCCTGTACTTTTGCGTTACTTTGCTTTGATGATCTTTCCTAAAAACTGCCAGCAGCCAACCCCAATCTTGGGGCCAACCTGATACCCTCACTCAAACCAGGATTTACATCTGCTCAAATTGATTGCTTGACAAGGACCGCTGAGAGCCCGGAGAGGCTCTTTACTGTCACCACTGGGTACCGACTCATTCCCTGAAAGCTTGCATCCCTGATGATGTTTGACTATCTCCATCCGCCCTACCTCATTCATACATGCTGGCAGGCACACATTGCATGACAGAGTCCAAGATTCATCAACACTGCCTTAATTTAGTAACTTTGTCTCAGATTAGCCGTTTAGGTCAGTCAGGAATTCCATGACTTTTACAAGCGGATTGCCCGTCTGATTATCAAGATATTTATGATTGGAAATCAATGGGAATGATATATAAGCCGTTTAGGTCAGTCAGGAATTCCATGACTTTTACAAGCGGATTGCCTGTCTGATTATCAAGATATTTATGATTGGAAATCAATGGGAATGATGTCACCACAATCACCATCATTCTCTTCATCTCTCTCTCTTTCTCTCTTCATCTCTCTCTTTCTCTCTCTCTCTCTCTCTTTCTCTCTCTCTCTCCCCCTCTCTATCTCACTCTAATCTTTTCTTTAGAGGACTGACTTGCACTATGGAACTGCGGAAGAATTTAATCTGGACCCATTAGGAAGCTGGGTAGAGGGATGGGCCTCCGCTATCTGGGCTGCCAGATACAATCATCATCACCCACACAGGCATCCAGGCGGGCGAGGAAACAGTCTGGGAGGCTACCCAAATAAATGCGCCTGTCATTTCTGGGTGAAGCCCCCCTTGCCAAAAGAGCCATCTGTGATTTGTTTGGGTTTTATCAATCTTCCTCTCTCTCTCTCTTGCTCCTGCCCTGGGAGGGACTCTGGGAGAGAGAGATGCAACAAGATGATTATAAGAAGAGACCTGGGAGTTCTCACGCAGCAAACTTCGGTCGGAAGCTTGTTGGAATTCTGTGAGAGGTCTAAAGCGAGTGACAGGCATGGCAGAGTCCTACACAAGATGTAGCAAAATATATCATGACGTTTGGCATAGAGATCGCAACTAGAGTACAATTAAACATTGATTTATTCTTAGGACTGTGTGAAGAAATCGTGGTCAGACCAATGTACGTTGCGGATAGAAATGGTGGGATGGAGATGGAAAGAGGAGAGGGGGGGGGGGGGAGAGACTTCAGAGTTTTAGGCTTGGAGGGTCATCATTATCATCAGTTCTTTGGCAGTGTCCTGAGTGAGGACATGACAAGGGGTCAAGAGGTCAACCAGTCTGCACTTTCCGCACAGCAGGTGGTATATCCCAGCATGCCCTCCCCTCCAAGCAGTTTCCATTCCAAAGGAAATGAGCTATCATGCAAGTTCACTAATACCCTTTTCACATCTATTTTTGTTAACCCCGGACTATCCTTAACCCCATACTATCCTTAACCCCATACTATTTTTTTTGCTGTTCACATCTATTTTCTTAACCCCGGACTATGTGCTTAGCCGGGGTTAAGAAATTTCACGCGATTCACACTACGTTCGCCTTAGCCCCGGACTATTCGATAGCTCATGAATATTAATGCTTTTGCTACCGCGCATGCGCCTTTCGACTAAATGAAGGGGAAAAACTATAATCAATATCGGTCAACGAACTCTTTGCTTGTGGTAAAAAGACCAACAATATACAGTACGGTACGTAATAATTTTAGCTCGCTCGTGTTGTGTTATCCAGCCTTGCGCAAAGCGTTTTCCCTTTATTATTTTACCGATACAAATCAATTACCCATTTTTCATCCAATTCACTTGATAAATTTACCTACGTAAATATGACTGATAATGATAAATGCAATAAAAAATTATGAGCTACATGTTCTTTCACTATTTTTTAAAATCAATTTTATAATAAAGATTTTTTCATAATGACCTCTGCCTCGTAAAAGACTAAACGTCAATACAGAGAGCATGCATGCGTAACGTGAACTGCATGCATGCGTAACGTGAACTGCATGCATAGCGCGCGATAAATGCAAATTCACGACCACACGACCACGCTGTCTGTGATTGGCTGTTGCTTAGCCCCGCTTCTCCTTAGCCCGGTTCGGATTCACACTACGCAGCTTAGCACCACAATTGCCCGGCTAACCCCGCAATTGCCCGGCTAACCCTGCTATTTTGCAGGGCCAGATAGTCCCGTACTATTTGTGGGGTTAGCCCACTTTGGCAAAACGTAATGTGAACAGAAAGCCGGCTAAAATTACCCCGGGTAATTGGTGGGGCTAAGGAAGGAATTGGTGGGGCTAAGAGCCCCCTTAGCCCCACCTATTTCCCGGGGTTAAGCAATATTTGGTAGATGTGAAAAGGGTATTAATCAAATCTCTCTTCCACTCACACTGCATAAGTACAAAGGGCTAAATTGTCTCCAAGTTTAGGACTCAAGAAGGAGAAAGTTAGTAGGCCATTTACCTCTTTTATACAGCCTTTAAATCTTATATTTCTGGGTCTAGGCCCTAGGGTATTGATCTACATACTTGTATGAAAATAGAAACCTTCACAAATTATAAACCCACTACCTGACACAAACTTAAGTCATTTTAAACTGTGCCTAAATTATAAAATGTTCCTGAAAAATTGGCCTGCAAATGGGGCATAGCACCTGTAATTTAAAGTAACGTGAACAAGCCTTTTAGCCATTTAATACGGTGTTCAAGTTTAAAACGCCTGGTCTAGGGTGTACATGTAGTTAAAAACTGAAGATATCCCATTAGATGTGAACATGACGGTCAGATGTAATCAGGCCTTGTAACCAGGAGAAACAATAACCAATTTCTAAACAACAACAAAATATACACTATGAACATGACTGACAAAGAAAGCGAACAAAATATACAGTTCCTCAGGTAGACAAAGGAACATCCCTTCACTGCTATTATGTAAAAATGTGTAGAACAGGTGTCACATGCATATTCACCTTTTTACATAATAGCAGTGAAGGGATGTTCCTTTATCTACCTGGGCAACTGTATATTTTGTCCGCTTTCTTTGTCAGTCATGTTCATAGTGATAGGCAAGTGATTTCAGAACCAATAAAACAACTGGAATCATGCATTTCAGAGATGATACTTTTATCTTGTGAAATGTGAATCTACATTTGCGTTTTGAGTCCAATCTAATTAAAATTAAACTACAGAAATAATCTCATTTGCATAAACAGGATTTAGATGTGTAGGGTTTATGTATATTACAGGACAAATTCTTTTTTATATTAGGTAGCGATAATTTTAATTTAAGCCTACATAATGTACATGTACATATTATATTGTACTGTAAATACATATAACTTTGATACATTTTTCTATTAAATCTTATAAAATATTGCTGTGTGATGTATTTTGTTATATTGCTTTTGTACTTTGATGTTTGTATTATAATGTAAATAATATCTGATTACTTTGTAAAAAAAGACATTATCCGCCTTTTTTCAATTAGCCTACGATACATGTATAGGCCTACATGTACATGTACCTTATGTGAAATGCAAAACATAAATGTATTGTACTGAAGGCTTTGGGGCTAAAAGAAATTACAGATAAACAGATTCCAGATTTCATTCATGCCTTTGACAGAGACAGACCCCCGTATTAAATTTCAACAACATCATTAACTCTGCATGTATTACGAGTGTATTTTAACTATGCACAAATACACAGTCAATTGGGCATGAATGAAAATCACTGCTAAAATTCATTTATGCAACACCATACATGACCTCCTTGTGACACGCGCTTGCATAGTTGTGGTTAAACTCCCTTTTTCTCAACCTTTTTCAACCCAACAGCATACATCCCCTGCTGCGAGTGTGCTTTCTCGTTGTAAAATACCCAACTCTTTCTCCAAACCTCTAGCCCGTAGTACCTCACAGAAAAAATGAAAGGCAACAAGGAATTATAAGCACTTAAAAAGTTCTAGTACAACACATAAAAAACAAAAACGGTTACTCCCTACATCCATCTTATCTTAAGAATCAATTTCATGGTGAGCTAGATTCGGAATAGAAAAAATTCCATTACACAGCTGGGGTCAATTTGAGGGACATTGACAGTGGGGCAATAAATTGCGCTGGAACTGGAGATTTTAATGGGAAAGGTGTATGGGCTGCAGAGATAACTTCATGCATTGTGTGGTAGTGTGGGGAAGCCGAGAGGTTTGCTGGGGTTTGAATGCTGCGCACAGAAGTCAATGGGCACGCAGACAAAAAGGCCAGCAAACTTTTGTACAAAGATTGAATTGTGTGTGTATGTGTGTGTGGGGGGGGGGGGGGGGGGGTTAGTAATGCTGTGCAGTATATCATGAACAATCTAAGTTTTATCCTATTCTACAAGCGCAAAGTCTTCTTTGGCACTGCCACTTGGCCAGCCAAGGAGAGATTTGATGATGGTTTGTGCCAGAATATCTGTATAATGATTAAATTATATTACGTTTTTTAGTTTGAGAAATTCATTTTGTCTCGCTGTCAAGAAGCAAAGTTTTTATGAAATACGAATAATAGGGGCTTGTCCCTATATACTCCAATACTTGCAAAATAAGGGGCTACAAATACGTTGGCATGACCATGAAGACAAAATTCCATTTGGCCATATCTGGAATTCTGTTTGAACATTCTTTTATTAAATTGTGCTTGAAGATTAACAAAATAATTTCAAAATTGTATGGAAAATAGGCCCTATATTTCAAATAGCAGTGACAATGCAGCACCAGCATCAAACTTGTCTGAATCCGTAGACTACTTGGGTCTACCGCTTCCAATAAGTGATTTCCAGCAGTACTTTAACCAACAATAGAACACAAAAATGCCTTCTTCTTCAACCAAAAGAAAGGCACAGAATACAGAGAGAACCAACAGAATGGCTGTGCTGACCCAATGCTTGTAACCTATTTGACTTTGCATTTTTTGGGGGAAAGGCAGCATTCAACGAGCCCACTCGGGCAGAAACACATCGATAAGAGTTTTGGAAATTGAAACTAGACAAGCGGAGTGGAAAGAACGAATAGATAGAGAGAGAGAGAGAGAGAGAGAGAGAGAGAGAGAGAGAATGGAGGCGAGTCTGACTGACAATTGCCGGTACTTTTATTGGGTAGTCATTAGACAAAATGTGTGGGAATTATGTCCTTTGTTCAAATAAAAACAAACTGTAATTGCGTGCCCTCATATTTCTAATTCGGGATAGAATGTGTAACACCCACATCATCGGAAGAATTTGTAGAATAACACTTACAAATACATGCATGTAGGCTGCAAGGACACCGCTGCAACTTCGCAACAGGTGCAGAATGTCCGTAGTTGAATACATGTTCCAACATTAATGGCTGTGCATTGTCCCACTGATTGCACACATAAAAATCCTGTTGCAAATTTAGTTATTTTGGAATCTGTTAACTGAGGAACCAGAAAGTTTAGCCACATGTGAAACTTTCCCGATTTGTTAAAGCCATTTTCACCACGAGGAACTTTCAAGAAAAGTGTTGTGTCAATTGTGATTTCACAAATCTGTGACAAGAAACTTTTCTGAATATGAATCACTCTCAAGATGTGTGAACCTTTCTTGTTATCAAGTGTACAAAATTCAAGTTTTGATTATTCTACAGTACCTGACAAGAAAACTGTAATGAAATATTTCTTAGATTATGGTAAATTTTGTTAATTTAGTTAAGTTAGTCACAATAATTTTTAAAAACCTGTAGCAATGAAAGTTTTATGGGGTATTACAAACCAAATTGCTCAACATACCAGACAACCAAAGGTGCATGAGTACACATTGTACGCCTATCACTTTCCCAAGAAATCAGACTGACTTTGAGCGAAACTTTCCCTTCATTATGAAAGCAACAGATGAATACAGTGTTTATAAATCCACACTGATCCCTTAATTTGAAGGTAAAATACAAATTCAGTTTATAATGGGAAAATTCATTCTGAATTTATTATTATAAAGATGGAACAAGTGAAAATAAACATTTTGAAACACCGTAGAGTAAGAGGTAAAAATGGTGAGATGTACTTACTGATGAACAATTGATATTACTGGAACACTCTTCTAATAAACTATAACTACCGGTACCGTTCGTATGAAGGGCCGAGGATGTGACCTGCAAGACAGAAAAGGGAAGAGAAACAAAAATAAGATTAGTAAATATTAGGATTTCCTTCATCACTCAAGAATTACATGTAATTATTAATCATTATGACCTATATTAAACCGAACGTTATCATGGTCAAACCATAATCTTTATTACTGTTAATATTATTATTATTATTATTATTATCATTATCATTATAATACTCATCATTACTATTATTATTTTTAATATCATTATTATTATTATCATCATCATCACCATCATCCTTATCATTATCAACATCATCACTGTTACATACCAGCAGCACATATGCACAATTTCACATTGTAAATATACAATTTGTGCTTGTAAATCAAAAATGAATATGGGCCTTCAAGTACAAGTCAATGAAAGAATATGATCCAATTTCACATGAAAGAAAAAATCTAAATAATGATGGAAAAAATGGAATGAAAATGAACAATTCCAGCATACATGGGCTTAAAGATGAAGTTGAGTTCTGGTCATGTGATTGCATTGAAAATAGAAAAGAAAAGGTTGATCATCTAGCATATAAGACTTTGTGTGTATTGCAAGGTTCTGGAATCATCAAAATGATAAGAAATTTGGCCAAGTCTTGGTAAAGTTACAAACACTGAACACAGAGAGATGTATATGGGACTACACAAACACGTGGCGTAAAAATCCTACCCCCGAGTTTTACGATGTTACATGACATATTTAGAATATGAAGGCATTTGAAGAGCCATGCTTTTCAGGGAACATGTCTTATATGATGTTCTTGCACACTTGCATTATAAGAATGATAACGCTCACAAATTATTTGTCACCTCTTCCCAGAACTCAACTTTCTCTTTAAACAACTCCAGGAGGCCAGTTTCTCAAAACCGTCCCAAATCCTTGGACATCCCATAGAAACAAGTGTTCCCACGAACTTAGACTTATGACCGTTTTGAGAAACTGGGCCCAGAATCTCATCCAGAAAGTTTGTTAACAATACAGGTATATTGTATGAGAAAGGAGAGTGTAAATCCCTTCTTAGAAAGCATTGAGTGACAGATCAATAGCCCCTTGGCTTCACACTGTCCACTCCGAGAAATAATGAATGGGTCCTACTTCAACCGCCTATGGTATAAACTACATGTATCCTAGTTAAAGATGAAGTTGAGTTCTGGTCATGCATAGGTTGATCATCTAGCATATAAGTATTTGTGGGAATTGCAAGGTTCTGAAATCATCAAAATGATAAGAAATTTGGCCAAGTCTTGATAAAGTTACAAGCACTGTACACAGAAAGATGTATATGGGACTACGTGACACGTGCCCGACACATGCGTGATATCTATTCGGTCCAGATAGATATAATAATTTATCTAATATATCAATTAGTAGGCGGTTTCTCTGCAAAATTTGTATCATTACGTATTAGTCAAAACATATATCACATGAGAGCTTCCATTTCATTTTTTGAGAGGGGGGCGTTTCCAAAACTGGTCTTTACCTTTAAGAGCCAGAAGGGCATTGACTCTGTGTTAAATTACTTAAGGACCCTTTTTAGCTCCAAACAATGTTATAATTAAAGAGTCAGGTAACCTTTTAAAATCATAGTTGTAATGTTTGAAAACTTGAGGGGAAAAAATAGTTTATATTTGAAAACTTGAGGGTAAAAAAATTACCAAATAAATAATTTCAAAAAAATTGTGGGGAGCCCATATACTGTACACAAGTCCCTAGCATTGGTCCTGTATACCGTACATCTAAAGTAAATTTATAAATTCAAATTACTGTATACATTGGTCAACTCAAGAGGATAGTACTCTTTTCAGCAAGGGCTTTTAGACCTGTAACTTGGTTCATGGGGTTTAACACAAACACTTCAATACCGTTTCAGATATCACACTTGACATACAGTATTTATAAGGCCTTTCTGTACAGGTTATATGAACCTGGTAGATTCATGCAGATTTCGATGAGAGACACTTTTTGAAGAAAAACCACAAATGTGATCTCTGACATGTGATATTTCTTTACAAGTGGTTGCGAAAGCAAGTTTCAATGCAGTTTTATCACGATTCATGTACATTGTAAGTTTCTTTTTAATCCTAAAATCTTCCTGAAAACCAACCAACCTACAAAAAACGAAGATCTCAGTCATGCATCTTTAATTCCCCTGCCCTTATCGACGCGGGTTTACCACCATACAGGAATGATACAGGTAAGCCGTCAGGGGAAGGTTCTTGCACCAAATCCGCTTTCAAAAGGAAGCTAAAAGAGGCCCTGGGGTTTGGAAGACGGGAAACAGGATGGAGAAAAGGGGGGGGGGGGGGGGGGGGGGGGTTACAAGCCTTGTCCAGAAACAAATCACCCTCATGTTGAGTTCTTTCAAAGGGAGAAAATTGAAAGCAAAGAAACAGTTGAAAGTTTCCCGTGGTACAGATAGCTTACTGAATTACTGGACTACTCCTTGGTAATCTACTTAGTGCATCCTTCAAGTCTTTAAGCTGCCATGTGACCCCCAATCGACCAATGAGAGTGCCCTTAGCTCACGTAACCCCAAATCCTCTTTGCTACTCTGTCACATTGTCCAGAGATAAGGGTGAAGTATTGTCTGTACCCACTTGTCCTCCTAGGGTCTTTCCATACCTCCGTAAGACCGTCCAAAGCCCTTTTCATTTTGTCCCCTTGGAAGACTAAGTCTAAAGCCTCTTTTCTCTATCCCTGTGTAGGATTTCTACCTCTAACTCAATGCTATGTAATCCCTCCAAACTTCCTCTAACTGTCTTCTATAACCTGGCACCTTGTTACTATGAAATATCTCGGGCATCTCGGGCACCATGGAAGATGTCATTTGTATGCAACCTCATGGTAAATGAAGGGGCGTGTTCAATATCTTGAGATTTTATGTAGTAGAAAAAAATGAAGTGGTTTGTTTTGAAAAACAGAATGGAAATCTGAGCGATCCAGTAGAGAGTAGACCCATGCATAAATTATCATCTGCAACATTAAGGGCGTTTACTTTGAACATGTATACTTTAACACAGAGTAAATGCCCTCAAAAGACGAGCAATATGATTGTGACATATATACAAAAATATATCATTAAAAGAACTATCCAACTATGCCACAATACAATCACTATGCATGATACAATCATTTTAAAGAAAATTCATCTGAAGAGGTTACTGTATCAGGTAGGGAATTAGTTAAACAAACCCATATCCAGTCAGAAATGCATTACAAAATAGAAAGACTACATATCTTACAAACCGGGGGTAATCTTATTTATAAATGCAATGTACCGGTATGTAGAATAAGAGCATTAGTGGTAGAATCTGAGTAAAACATTAACCATTTAGGCTCCTTCTTACTCTCAAATAAAAGATTCAAGCTCCGTCTACAGAGCCAAATCTATTACAATATAAAAGATTCTTTTCTTAGAAATTTGGACAAGGATATTAATACCAAGCTTGATTATTTAATTTTTAGAACTTTTGATACATTCCTTTTATCCTTCTTTCTATTTGAAGTCGAAGTTACAATACGTGTCAAGTGAATTGAATATGCAAGGAAAGCGACATGAATCATGCTTTTCCTTTATTTTCTTGTCAAAGAGGGAAAGCGGGGAAAAGGCTACATTTTCTAAAAGGCAAGCAATCTTGGGGACCTTTGAAATCTTTGACAAAGCAAAGAAACTTTTCTTTCAACCTGCGCCATGCCCATTTACCTTCCAAAGAAGGAAGATTGCTCAACATTGAAAGATCTATACACAGTGAAGTTTGGCTTGAATAGAATATGATCAGAAAAGGGGGGTTGGCCCACAATGAAAAGACTTGAATATATACTTTTCGTTTTTGTAATCTGGTTTGATTCTATGCCCTATTCACAAGCCTTTTCTTTCTTTTCTTTTTCGATTCAGAAGATTTCAGGAGGGATTAGAGTTTGCCAAATCGCAATCCCTCATCTAATGTAATTTTATTCTCTCTCTCTCTCTCTTTTCCTTTCTTTCTCTTTTATATCTCTTCTCTAGAGCTCTCTCTTTCTCTCTCCTTCTTTCTCCTCATACCAATGGACTGTGAACTTCATACTTGCCCAACTCTTGTCAATTGTGTGAATTATTGGGGGAGTAAATAAAGCATAGAGCTTGATATACAGTTGCCTTTTCAATAAGACTGTGGAGACGACTTTTTTTTCCTTCATTTCTGCCCTCTCTTTTTTCTTTCTGCCTTTTTCTAAGAGCAAACTGCAATTTAAATAGATGTTTCTGCCTCTTCTTATTAAAAGCAACAATGGGTATTCACGGCCGTCGCTTTGTCATTCATCATGGGCCTTGCCATTTAATTCAGCGCATTTCTCCCGACATCTATCAAACTGCAGCGGGAGAATAGCTGCACATTGTTGCGGTTCTCTCACCCCTAGGGTTTTCCTCGGTTTAGTTTTCCTCCTCAGTTCTGTTCTTGGCCCGGCCTATACACGCAACACAGCGCGGATAACCCCCAGGCCTCATTCTTGACTCTTTCCACGTTTTAGTCCCTTTTTAACCCTGCATTATGTTTCTCAACAAAAGTTTGGAGCTCCCGACAGAGTCAAGTTTGGACCCCCCCCCCCCCCTTTTCTTTTTTCTTCTTGCCCATAACCCAAAGCCACAACTATGACTAATAATTTCTGTATTCCTGCTGCTGCCTGCGATTAAATATTGTAAAAGAAATCAATGGATTGACATCGCTTGAAGCTTGATCTAACTAAAAGATACTGTATGATGAACATCCCATTGAATGCAAACATCATGAGGTTACATGCATCAAGTAACTCCTTGCATGCACATTGCGCAAGACATGCCCATATTAAAGGGCAACAGGATACTGAAAGTACAGGTTATCTTCAGAAATATGGCCAAGAGTAAATAAATCAGAACCACGATCTGATGAAATGTGGTAATGGTCGGACGCCTGTGCCAGGCAGCTTGGCAATTGGCGACCATGCTCCAGCGAGAACTTACAATGGTCGGGGTG